GACTAGCCTGAGCAAAACAGCACAACCCTGTCTCTACAAAAATAAAAGGAAATGGCCGGGCAGGGTGGCTCATGCCTGTAATCCCAGCACTTTGGGAGGCTAAGGCAGGCGGATCACCTGAGGTCAGGAGTTCGAGACCAGCCTGACCAACAAGGCGAAACCTTGTCTCTACTAAAAACACAAAAATTAACCGGGCAAGGTGGCAGGCACCTGTAATCCCAGCTACCTGGGAGGCTGAGGCAGGGAGAATTGCTTGAACTGGTGAGGCAGAGGTTGCAGTGAGCCAAGATCATGCTATTGCACTCCAGCTTGAGTGACAGAGCAAGACTCCAACTCAAAAATTACAATAATAATAAATAATAAAAGCAAACTAGCTGGGTGTGGTGTTGCGTGCCTGTAGGCACAGCTACCTGGGAGGCTGAGGCAGGAAGATGGTTGAGCCCAGGAGTTGGAGGGTATGATCATGCCACTGTATTTCAGCCTAGGAGACAATACGAGACCCTGTCTCCAAAAAAAGCATAGCTGGCCATGGTGGCTCACGCCTGTAATCCAAGCACTTTGGAGGCCAAGGCAGGCAGATCACCTGAGGTCAGGAGTTTGAGACCAGCCTGACCAACATGGTGAAACCCTGTCTCTACTTAAAAAAAAAAAATACAAAATTAGATGAGCATGCTGACATATGCCTATAATCCCAGCTACTTGGGAGGCTGAGGCAGGAGACTCACTTGAACCCAGGAGATGGAGGTTGCACCATTGCATTCCAGCCTGGGCAACAAGAGAGAAACTTCATCTCAATAATAATAATAATAATAAGCCTTTATTTATTATTTATAGAGATGGGGTCTTATGTTGCCCAAGCTGGTCTTGAACTGGGCTCAAGAGATCCTCCTGCCTCAGTTTCCTGAGTAGTTGGGACTACAGGCATAAGCTACCATGTGATTATTTACAATGACATAATAATCTTTAATGAGTACCAACTTTGTGCTAACTACTTTTCCATAACTGGACAGTCCTGATCAATTACAATTTTTAACTCTGTAAAGCAGGTGAAAAAGTTGGATACATTGTCTACCCTCCTGAAACTGACCATCTTTCTTGGTAACAGATAAGTTACCTAGGTACTGTGGTTTGGATATGGTTGGTTTGTCTCCACCAAAACTAATGTTGAAATTTAATCTCCAGTGTGGTGGTGTTTGGACCTAACGGGAGGTATTTGGGTCATGGAGGTGGATCCCTCATGAATGGCTTGGTGCTGTACTGAGTGAATTCTTGCTCTTTTAAGACTGAATTAGTTCCCATGGAAATAGATTAGTTCCTGTGAAAGTGGGCTATAAAGCCAGGATATCCCTCCAGTGTTGCTTCCTCACAGGACTGCTTCCCCTTTGATCTTCTCTGTTATGACACAGGACAGAAGCCAGGACCATTCCCTTGAACTTCCCAGTCCACAGAATCATGAACTAAATAAACTTCTTTTCCTTATAAATTATCCAGTCTTGGATATTTTGTTATGGCAACACAAAATGGAATGAGACACCAAACATTTACAATACAGAGAGATAAGCCTGAAAGGGGAAGTCTTGGCTGCAATGGGAGGACAAAAAAACTTTTTTTTTTTAATTTTTTTTTTATTTTTTATAGAGACAGGGTTTCACCATGTTGGTCGGGTTGGTCTCGAACTCCTGAACTCATGATCCTCCCGTCTCGGCTTCCCAAAGTGCTGGAATTACAGGCATGAGCCACTGCGCCCAGCCAAAAAAAAAACCCTCTTAACCTAGTTTGGGGTAGGAAGCAGACAGCAGTGGGCTTCTATTTTATTCAGCAGATATTTACTGAATACCTACTACCTACCAGGTACTATGTTGGTATTGGGAACATGGCTATAAAGAAGACATGGGCTCTGGCAGAGTGTCAGTGGTTTGAAATGGCTTTGGTAGGGAATAGGAGAGCAAGCAAATGAGGTATTTGGAAGGATTGTCTGCTGGACGAAAGGACCACCACCTTTTCCTCTGGGCAGTGCTGCAGGCACCAGCCCTAAACTCCGTGGTTAACCAAGTCCCTTTTCAGGCAAGATAAAAGATAATTAGATTGCAGCTTTCCTTTATATCCCAGTCCTGGGTATTTTAGTTTGCTCATTTAAATAATTGATTTAAGTATGTCTTAAATCGACTTTGATAACACAGATACAGGCTGGGGAAGTGGCTTGCATCTGTAATCCCAGGACTTTGAAAGGCCGAGGCAGGTGGATGCTTGAGGTCAGGAATCGAGACCAGCCAGGCTAAGGGGGTGAAACCTTGTCTCTACTAAAAATTTAAAAAAATTTTTTTAATTAGCTGGGCATGTAATCTCAGCTACTCAGGAGGCTAAGGCAGGACAATCACTTGAACCCGGGAGGTGAAGGTTGCAATGAGCCAAGATTATGCCAGTGTACAGCCTTGGCAATAAGAGCAAAACTCCGTCTCAAAAAAAAAAAAAAACAAAACAAAGCCAGATATGGTGACTCACACCTGTAATCCCAGCACTTTGGGAGTCCAAGGTGGGCAGATCATGAGGTCAGGAGTTTGAGACCAGTCTGGACAAAACAGTGAAACCCCATCTCTACTAAAAATACAAAAAATTAGCTGGGTGTGGTGGCACACGCCTGTAATCCCAGGTACTCGGAGGCTGAGGCAGGAGAATGGCTTGAACCTGGGAGGCGGAGTTTGCAGTAAGCCCAGATGGCACCACTGCATTCCAGCCTGGGCGACAGAGCTAGACTTCGTCTCAAAAAAAAGAAAAATATAGGCATGGTGGTGGACACCTATAATCTGAGCTACTTGGCAGGCTGAGGCAGGAGAATCACACAGGAGGCAGAGGTTGCAGTGAGCTGAGACCATGACACTGCACTCCAGTCTGGGTGAAACTCCATCTCAAAAAATATATATATATGTTATCAACTTTGATAACATATATGCAGAATTTTTTTTTTTTTTTAAACAGAATTTCACTCTTGTTGCCCAGGCTGGAATGCAATGGTGAGATATCAGCTCACTGCAACCTTCCCCTCCCAGATTCAAGCGATTCTCCCACCTTAGACTCCTGAGTAGCTGGGATTATAGGCATGCACCACCACACAAGGCTAATTTTGTATTTTTAGTAGAGGTGGCGTTTCTCCATGTTAGTTAGGCTGGTCTCGAACTCCTGACCTCAGGTGATCTGCCCGCCTCAGCCTCCCAAAATGCTGGGATTACAGGCATGAGCCACCACACCCGGGCTATACAGACATTTTTTTAGGGAGTTACAGTTTGAGAGTTATCTTGTTGAAACTGATCCTCCCTCCCTATTTACTGATTTTACTCCATCAAATATTATCTATCCAACACATTTTTTCCTATAACATACTTATAGCATTTCAATAAGTATGTATAGCATTTTCCTATAACGTACTTATAGCATTTCAATAAAGCTTATTTCAGCTTTATTAAAATAAAATGACATAAAACAATTTGTACCTAAAAAATGCAGTTTGATAAGTTTTAACATTTGTATACACCTGTGAAAACATCATCACAATCAACATGATGAACATATGTCCATCACCCCAAGAAGTTTCCCTCTTCATCCCCAGGTAACTACTGTTCTGCTTTCTGATGTCACAGACTTTTGTTTGCATTCTCTAGTATTACATAAATAGAATCATATAGTATGTACTCTTAGTTATCTAACTTCTGTCTCTTGCCATAATTACTATGATTATTTGTATTGCATGTATCAGTAGTTCATTCCTTTTTTTGCTGAGTATTATTCCAGTGTATAAATATATCATATTAGTTTCCTTATTTATCCATCCCATAGTGGACATTGGGTTGTTTCCAAGCTTTGGGCTACTACAAATTTTAAAGGTCTTATGAACATTCATTTTTCATGTATCTGTATGGACATATTTTAATTGCATTTGGTTATATACCATTTGATTTATACTTATATTGATTATATTCTCTTATTTATAGTTTATTTATAATATATTTATATTTACCTTGATTTTATTGTTTGTTTTTAAATTTTTTTTGAGACAGGGTCTTGCTCTGTCTCCCTGGCTGGAGTGCAGTGGCACAATCATGGCTCACTGCAGCCTCAACCTCCTGGGCTGAAGCAATTCTTCCACCTAGTAACTAGCTGGGACCACAGGCATGCGCCACAACTGCCTGGCTAATTTTTGTATTTTTTTGTCTACAAGGCCTTCCCATGTTGCCCAGGCTGGTCTTGAACACCTAGACTTAAGTGATCCACCCGTCTCAGCTTCCCAAAGTGCTGAGATTACAGGCGTGAGTCACCATGCCCAGCACATTGATTTTATATCATCTTAAATTCATTACCTATTGTGTTAGATACCATGCTAAGTATTTTCTTATTGTTAGAATTATGGTATATTTGCCAGGCCCAAATTAGGAAAATACAATGACAAAAATATTTTTTTTGATCAGTACTATCCTGGGAATATAGGACATGATTATTTTGGTTTATTGTTTGTTCATAGTTTGCTGTGTGTCATAGATTCATATCTTTTCTCTTTTTTTTTTTTTTTTGAGACGGAGTCTTGCTGTGTCACCAGACTGGAGTACAGTGGCAGGATCTTGGCTCATTGTAACTTCTGCCTCCCAAGTTCAAGTGATTATCCTGCCTCGGCCTCCCAAGCAGCTGGGACTACAGGCATGCGCCACCACACCCAGCTAATTTTTTGTATATTTAGTAGAGATGGGGTTTCACCATGTTAGCCAGGATGGTGTCCATCTCTTTACCTCATGATCTGCCTGCCTTGGCCTCCCAAAGTGCTGGGATTACAGGCATGAGCTACCTCACCCAGCCCATCTTTTCTCTTTATATGACCTTTGAGAGTAAACATCAAGTCCTTTTCCATACCCGCACAGTAGCTAGTACGGTATTCAGCATATAGCAACTATTTGCTAAATTTTAAATAACTTTCTGCTCTCATTTACCAAAATAATCATTCTTTTGCCTTACAGGTTTCTTCCAAAGTGAAATCCCCCTGGTATTCAGCATCTCCCTTCTCTTCGTCAGTGGTGAGTTTATTTGGCATAAAAGTTGACTTCTGAGAAGGAAGAGTTGACTGTAAAATTCAGTATAGTTTTTCGGTATCTCTATTCATCTTTACTTAATTGTCATGAGAGGGTATGTGAAACTTTCTATCTTGGTTTTCTTTTCTAATATTAGATCTATATAGTAAGCATTGTTAATATTGCAAGACAGTCTTTATAATTTTAATGGCTACAATAATATTCCATCAACTAGTTACAGCCTGAATTAATAGTTTCCCTATATAACATTTAGATTGCTTCAGTTTTCCAAATTATAAAACAAACATTTATTTATATAGTTTTTTCCTCCTTCTGGATTATTTCCCTCCTGAGATAGGATTACTGTGTCAAAAGATATAAACATTTTCAAGGCTCCTGGAGATTATGCTGACCTGCCAGATAGTTGTCTTCTTAACAACCTTTAGAGTTGTTTTTTACAGATCATCTGTCTGTCAACCAGTCAACCACTTCAAGTACCTAAAATCTAATAAATAAGAACTATTGCTCAAATTCTTTTTATATAGAAGTATGCACACACTGTACCACAGTAGATCTACACAATTTTTTGATTCACAGACTGCTTTAAAAATTTGGTGAAAGAGATCGGGCACAGTGTCTCACACCTGTAATCCCAGCACTTTGGGAGGCTGAGGCGGGTGGATTGCCTGAGCTCGGGAGTTCAAGACCAGCCTGGGTGACATGGTGAAACCCCATCTCTACAAAAAATTAGCTAGGTTTGGTGGTGTACACCTATGGTCCCAGCTCCTTGTGAGAGGGTGAGGTGAGGTGAGGAGACTGCTTGAGCCTGGGAGGCAGAGCTTGCAGTAAGCCAAGATTATACCACTATACTCCAACCTAGGTGACAAAGTGAGACCATATCTAAAAAAGAAAAAAATAATAATGAAAGCGAGCTATATCTCAGAAAAAAATACATAGAAACATTAAAAAAAAATTTTTTTTTCTTTTTGAGATGGAGTCTTGCCCTATTGCCCAGGCTGGAGTGCAGTGGCATGATCTCAGCTCATTGCAATCTCTGCCTCCCAGTTTCAAGCAATTCTCCTGCCTCAGCCTCCCGAGTAGCTGGGATTATAGGTGCACACCACCAAACCCAGCTAATTTTTGTATTTTTAGTACAGACAGGTTTCACCATGTTGGCCAGACTGGTCTTGAACTCCTGACCTCAAGTGATCCACCTGCCTCGGCCTCCCAAAGTACTGGGATTACAGGTGTGAGCAACTGCGCCTGGCCAAAAATCTTTTGACCATAAAGGTAATATATGCTCACAGTAATCTAACAGTTAGCTGGGCCAAAAAGTCATAATAGCTAATCTTTGTTAACAGAGTTGCTGCTTTTTCAGTATAAGCTTCACAATGTCATGTTACCAGTCATGAAGTTCCAGTGTATGAATAGCAGGGATTTCCCCTTCTGAGAGAGATCACATTATCAAGAGGCTCTGCCATATCTTAATATATACTATACACTGGGCATAATGACTCACGATGTAATCCTGGCACTTTGAGAGGCTGAGGCAGATAGATCACTTGAGCCCAGGAGTTTGAGACCAGCTGGGCAACATGGGCAAGCCCTGTCTCTACCAAAAATACAAAAAATTAGCTGGGCATGGTAGCATGTGCCTATAGTCCCAGCTGCTCAGGAGGCTGAGGTAGGAGAATCATCTAAGCCCTGGGGGTTGAGGCTGCAATGAGTCATGATCATGCCACTGTACTCCAACCTGGATGACAGAGTGAGACCATATTTCAAAAAAATAAAGTTAAACAAGGGCCAGGTGCAGAGGCTCATGCCTGTAATCCTAGTACTTTGGGAAGCCAAGGTGGGTAGATCACCTGAGATCAGGAGTTTGAGACCAGCCTGGCCGACATGGTGAAACCCCATCTCTACTAAAAATACAAAAACTAGCCGGGCGTTGTGGCAGGCACCTGTAATCGCAACTACTCAAGAGGCTGAGGCAGGAGAATCACTTGAACCCGGGAAGCAGAGGTTGCAGTGAGCTGCGATCATGCCATTGCACTCCAGCCTGGGTGACAAGAGTGAAACTGTGTCTCCAAAAAAAATAAGGAAACACAGACACACACACGCAAACAAACACACACACACACACACACACATGCATACACAATAGACAAGGATATTATGTGTCTCTGTGTCCCTTTCCTAGTGGGAACATTTCTAAAGACCAGAAGATTCCATTATCAACCTGTTTTCTTTTCTTTTGGTGAAAGGGAAAGGGAAAAACAAAGCAATTAACTAATACAAAGTTTCATGGTTTTTTTTTTTTTTTCAGCCAACTGTAAAGCTCTTCATTGATGGGAAATTTGTTGAATCCAAAAGTGACAAATGGATCGATATCCACAACCCAGTAAGCGAAGCTGCTTTAGGACTTCAACTTAATGAGCCTAGAATTATAGGCACATGATGGGCAAGTAGGGACCTGGATGTCTGTTATAAAGCAGATAGTGCCACTTCTGTGAATAGATGTACAGTGAAGAAAGTGAGTCAGGGGCAAAGGATCATGTGCTTATTTTTCCCATCAGGCCACCAATGAGGTAATTGGTCGGGTCCCTCAGGCCACCAAGGCAGAAATGGATGCAGCCATTGTTTCCTGCAAACGTGCTTTTCCTGCATGGGCAGACACTTCAATATTAAGCCGTCAGCAGGTCTTGCTCCGCTATCAACAACTTATTAAAGAAAACTTGGTATGAAATCTGAATAGTATGATTTTCCAAACTGTTGCCTAGGGCATGTTTGTCACTCTCACAGAGACTTTTTCAGCAACCTCCCTTACTCTGCAGTATGCAGAGACGTTGATCATGCCTCTCCCCCTTGTACTGTATCTCTTCCAGTCTTACTCTTCCTTGGCTATCTGAGAATTTGAAAGAGGAACATTCTTTCATTAATTTCTATTTATGTGTTTTCTCTTTAGAAAGAAATTGCCAAGTTAATCACATTGGAACAAGGGAAGACCCTAGCTGATGCTGAAGGAGATGTATTTCGAGGCCTTCGTAAGCTGGGAGCCCCTTATGGGACTTTTGGGAAGGAACAAAGGAAGACAGGAGGCAAAGATCCCAGAATGGGAGGTTGCTTCTTCCTTTATATAAATTTTGCCATCCCATGATATCTTTTTTAATACTAGTGAAAAATGGCAGTACTCAGTATCCCTAAGACTGATTTACTTTACTCTTTACTCAAATGATCTTCCAGTAGGTATATACGTATTGCTGTATTTTCCCATTCAGAGAATCTCATTTTACACAAACCCTTAACTTGGAAGGTCCAGTCAGTGTACCCTGTGTCCCTTCATTGGCCTGAGCCACTCTCTGTCCTCAGGGCTGAAGAGAACATGACAAAGCTAACTAGCACACAGTGTGGAGAGCTGATGGCCTGACTTCTGTGTTCCAGAGGTGGTTGAGCATGCCTGTAGTGTGACATCCCTCATGATGGGAGAGACCATGCCATCCATCACCAAAGACATGGACCTTTATTCCTATCGTCTGCCTCTGGGAGTGTGTGCAGGCATTGCTCCATTCAATTTTCCTGCCATGATCCCCCTTTGGATGTTTCCCATGGCGATGGTGTGTGGAAATACCTTCCTAATGAAACCATCCGAGCGAGTCCCTGGAGCAACTATACTTCTTGCTAAGTTGCTCCAGGATTCTGGTGCCCCTGATGGAACATTAAATATCATCCATGGACAACATGAAGGTAACTGCCCTTCTACATATGGCTACATAATCTGACTACCAAAAAATTAAGGGGTTGAGTGATGATTGGCTGTTTTAGCATAAGGAAGCTACTTGTAAGGAGAAAAGGATTTACTCATTTTAACCTCCATATTTGTTGATGATTTTGCCATCTTCGTGCACTGAGGTAAATGACTGGGGAATAGCAGTGCTCCTGGTCCTACAGTACATATTGGGACACTAGAAATCTGGATTAGGGCTAGATACAGATAAGATTAAAAATAATTTTTTTTCATGAGGATATTTAACTTAGATAATTTGTAGATCTCAGAGATACTGTAGGCCTTCTAATTCAGGTAATAATAGCTAATACTTAAATAGTGCTTTTTGTATATTATTTAATCTTTATAATCACACTTTGAGTTAGATATTATTTTTCTATTTTGCAGAAGAGAAAAATGAGACATAGTGAAATTAAGTAATTAGCCCAAAATCACAGTGCTAGAAAATGTCAAAGCCAGGATGTGTATACCCTCAGGAAGACTGACTCTGATTTTTGCTTTAAAAAATTATGCTATATTACCTCTCACATGAGGGCACAATAGTATTTGAGTGTCCTAGTACATAGCTGCCATTGAGGAAATATTGTTTTGTTCTGTTTTGTTTTGTTTTGTTTTTTGAGACAGAGAAAGAGTCTTGCTGTGTCACCCAGGCTGGAGTGCAGTGGCGCAATCTCAGCTCACTGCATCCTCCACCTGCCAGGTTCAAGCAATTCTCCTGCCTCAGCCTCCTGAATAGGTGGGATTACAGGCATGTGCCACCATGCCCAGCTAATTTTGGTATTTTTAGTAGAGATAGTGTTTCACCATGTTGGTCAGGCTGGTCTCAAACTCCTAAGCTCAGGTGATCTACCTGCCTCAGCCTCCCAAAGTGCTGGGATTACAGGTGTGAGCCACCGTGCATGGCCTATTATTCTTCTTAAAGGACAAAAAAGAAGGATTCCGTATTCAAAGGCTGTTATTTTGGAGGAAGATAGGAGTTACAGTTTTCAAAGTTAGATTAAGGCCAGGGACAGTGGCACACACCTGTGATCCCAGCACTTTGGGAGGCAAAGAGGCAGGTGGATCGCTTGAGCCCAGCAGTTCTAGACCAGCCTGGGCTATGGGGCAAAACACCTGTCTCTGTAAAAAAATACAAAAATTAGCCAGGAATGGTGGCATGTGCAGGTAATCCCATGAGGTAGGAAGATGGCTTGAGCCAGGCAGACAGAGGTTGCAGTGAGCTAAGATGGCACCACTGCACTCCAGCCTAGGTGAAACAGTGAGACCCTGTCACACAAAAAAAGTTAGAAGTGGAAATTCTGGAATAGCAAATGAGAAAAATCATGAAAGGAAAGAGGCTAAATAGAATTTATATATTTTTAATTTTTTTGAGATGGAGTTTTGCTTTTGTTGCCCAGGGTGGAGTGCAATGGCACAATCTCAGCTCACTGCAACATCCACCTCCCAGGTTCAAGCAACTCTCCTGCCTCAGCCTCCTGAGTAGTTGGGATTACAGGTGCTCACCACCATGCCTGGCTAATTTTTTGTATTTTTAGTAGAACTGGGGTTTCACCATGTTGGCCAGGATTGTCTCAAACTCCTGACCTCAGGTGATCCACCTGCCTCAGCCTCCCAAAGTGCTGGGATTACAGGTGTGCACCACCGTGCTCACCTGGCTAAATAGAATTTAAAAGAAAGTAGAAGAGAACTTCACAATGAGAATCCAGTATAGAAAAACAAACACAGGAAAACTTCAAATCCACAGCAGTGGGGAAAGGGGAAATTTGCCATGTTGAGAATCCATTTGCTTGTTTTGAGTGATCATTTATTTTCTTCTTAAAGCTGTAAATTTTATTTGCGATCATCCGGACATTAAAGCAATCAGCTTTGTGGGATCCAACCAGGCAGGAGAGTATATCTTCGAGAGAGGATCAAGACATGGCAAGAGGGTTCAAGCCAATATGGTGACTTCTTATTCCTTTTTTCCTCCAATATTTGTTCTATATATTAAAATTACCTAGGAATAGACCTTAAGCAAAGCGGCCACTCATCTCACTTCAGTGTCAGTGTTTCTTAATTACCGTGTCATCCTGAATGTTTTCTCTTTAATAATAGACTTTTTGAGGAGTTTCATTCTAAGTCATGTTAATCACCTTATTATTTTTTTTTTTTTGAGACAGCTTCTCACTCTGTCACCCAGGCTAGAGTGCGGTAGTGTGCTCTCATCTCACTGCAACCTCCACCTCTCGGGTTCAAACAATTCTCATACCTCAGCCTCCCAAGTAGCTGGGATTACAGGTGCCTACCACCACACCACCACACCAGGCTAAGTTTTGTATTTTTAGTAGAGGCAGGGTTTTACCACGTAGGCCAAGCTGGTCTCAAACTCCTGGCCTCAGGTGATCTGCCTGCCTCTGCCTCCAGAAGTGCTGGGATTATAGGTATGAGCCAGTGTGCCTGGCCTCTTTCTTGAAATTCTGTATTAAGAGGTCTGCCTTCCATTTTGCTTTTCAGCTGGTTACTGGCATTATTGCTATAATTTTTTTTTTTTTTTTTTTTTGTAGAGTCGGGGTTTCTCCATGTTGACCAGGCTGGTTTTGAGCTCCTGACCTCAGGTGATCTGCCTGCCTGAGCCTCCCAAAGTGCTGGAATTACAGGCGTGACCCACCGCCCCCAGCCTTTTTTTCTTTTTTAAACATTGCTCTTCATATAACTGAAAAACCTAGCAGACAATAAATTATTTTCCTTTTTTTGAGACAGGGTCTCACTCTGTCACCCAGTCTGGAGTACAGTGGTGAGATCTTGGCTCACTGCAACCTTCGCCTCCCAGGATCAAGTGGTCCCCCTACCTCAGCCTCCCAAGTAGCTGGGACCACAGGCACACGCCATCATGCCTGGCTAATTTTTTTGTAGAGATGGGCTTTTACCATGTTGCCTAGGCTGGTCTCGAACTCTTGACCTCATGTGATCCTTCCCACCTCAGCTTCCCAAAGTGCTGGGATTACAGGCATTAGCCACCTCACCTGGTCCACTGCTTATTTCTTTTTTTAATTTTTTTTCTTGAGATGGAGTTTTGCTCTTGTTACCCAGGCTGGAGTGCAATGGCGTGATCTCGGCTCACCACAACCTCTGCCTCCTGGGTTCAGGCAATTCTCCTGCCTCAGCCTCCTGAGTAGCTAAGATTACAGGCACACGCCACCATGCCCAGCTAATTTTTTGTATTTTTAGTAGAGACGGGGTTTCACCATGTTGACCAGGATGGTCTCGATCTCTTGACCTTGGGATCCACCCGCCTCAGCCTCACAAAGTGCTGGGATTACAGGCGTGAGCCACCGCGCCTGGCCCACTGCTTAATTTCTTAGCTTAATTGTATTGGCCAAGGAAGACTCATGTGCTTTCTGTATTTAGGGAGCCAAGAACCATGGGGTAGTCATGCCAGATGCCAATAAGGAAAATACCCTGAACCAGCTGGTTGGGGCAGCATTTGGAGCTGCTGGTCAGCGCTGCATGGCTCTTTCAACAGCAATCCTTGTGGGAGAAGCTAGGAAGTGGCTGCCAGAGCTGGTGGAGCGTGCCAAAAACCTGAGAGTCAATGCAGGTAATCAATCACCTGCCTAGCTCGCTTAGATTTTTGCATATGTGGCATTAAACTCTGGGGTTCTAGCACTGGCCTTGGCCAGTGGGAAAATCATGTCTATTCTGGCCATTTCCTGTCTTTATACTGTAGTTGTCATTTGGATTCATCTTATTAGCAGTCTTTTTTTTTTTTTTTAAAGGCAGAGGCTCTCTGTCACCCAAGCTGGAGTACAATGGTATCATCCTAGCTCACAGCAGCCTCAAACTCCTGGGCTCAAGTGATCCTCCTGCCTCAGCCTCCTGAGCAGCTTGGACCACAGGTGTGCACCACCACCTGGCTAATTTTTTAATTTTTTTATAGAGATGAAGTCTCACTTTGTTGCCCAGGCTGGTCTGAACTCCTGGGCTCAGGCAGTCCTCCTCCCTTGGTCCGCTAAAGCTTTGGGATTACAGGCATGAGCCCTGGCAGCAGTCACAATTTATGTTAATGAGGATCTTAAATACTTCTGTGTTGTTTTACAGGAGATCAGCCAGGAGCTGATCTTGGCCCTCTGATCACTCCCCAGGCCAAAGAGCGAGTCTGTAATCTGATTGATAGTGGAACAAAGGAGGGAGCTTCCATCCTTCTTGATGGACGAAAAATTAAAGTGAAAGGCTATGAAAATGGCAACTTCGTTGGACCAACTATCATCTCGAATGTCAAGGTGAACAAGTTTGGTTTCACAAATATGAGAGTTGAGGGCACCTTAAGGCTATAGAATCTCATTCCTCTAATTTATTAATGAAAATGCTTAATGACTAAGACCTCATCTCTTGCCAGGATTGATCAGTTATTTTATATGGAATCCGAATGAGTCTCCCCTTCTAACTCACAACCAAACTCTTTCCACTATCCCAGCAGTCTGCAAACTTTCCATAAACGGATATATACTTTCACCTTTGCAGGGATATAGTGTTTGTTGCAATGAAAATCTGACATTGTAGTGTGAGATCAGCAATAAACATTGTGTGGCTGTGTTCCAATAAAACTTTATACACTGAAGTTTGAATTTCATGTCAGTTTATATATGATTAAATAATTTTTCAACCATTTAAAAATGCAGAAACCATTTTTAACTTGGGGGCTGTACAAAAACAGGCAGCAAGCCACATTTGGGCCCACAGGCTACAGTTTACCAAATGCTATCTTATTTTATACTGGTTTGTTAATGTTTTCTCTCCCCTCTCCCTCTTGCTGCCTAGCTTATGAGTACTGCATTATCTCAACCACTATATCAAACCACCCAATATTTATTGAAAATGAGAAAATAATACTTGTCAATTTTTATTTATCAAAACTTTGAAAGTCTCTCAGCTAATATGACTTAAAAATTGAGGTTATGAAGCTTTTTTTTGAAATTCATATATAATAGTGAATCACCAAGTGTTGAAGTGTAGCAGAAATTATGAAATCTCTTGCCACAGAACCATACAGAAAAATCCATTTATCAGCAACAAACATTAGCTGCAGTGATGATGTTTTGAGTGTCTAAGTGTGACCTGATATCAAAATATAAACATACAGACATATTTGGGAGGCAAAGGAAGGAGTGAATAAGAATGGATTATTTACGTTACAGAAAACAGCTTGGGGTTTCTATAAAGAGAAAAATTCTCCTGGTATAATATATATTCGTTTTATAAAAAATAAATTTTTATGTAACCTTTTGATAACAATTGGATAAAACAAGTTGTTCAGGTATTAAAAAGGAAGTTAATGATGGGTCATGAACTAAAAATACAGTGCCTTAAAGGAAGTGTGGTTATGGTTGATAGGAATTCCAAGTTGTTTATATGATTGGTAGCTTGGAAGATGAAACACGGTTAAGAGAGGATTTTTTTAAAAAATAGCTGATTTGAAATGAAAAGAGATTATAAAAGTTGTCCATGTAAACGATGTGTAGTAAGTGAAAGTACCAAATAAACATCAAATACTCAGAATCCAAAAGGCTGACTTCTTTTCTTGATGCATCCTTCCTGGCAGCCAAATATGACCTGTTACAAAGAGGAGATTTTTGGTCCAGTTCTTGTGGTTCTGGAGACAGAAACATTGGATGAAGCCATCCAGATTGTAAACAACAACCCATATGGAAATGGAACTGCTATTTTCACCACCAATGGAGCCACTGCTCGGAAATATGCCCACCTGGTGGACGTTGGACAGGTTTGTGAACAGAATTTTTAAGAGATTCTTATATCCGTTTTCTATTTCCTAAGAGGAAACAGTAAATAATGGTGAGTCATTGGTTTAAGATTGCCTCCATGACCTCCCACAGTGCCCTATTTCCTTCCTCAGGAATGAAAGTTCAAGAGGTAGAGGATGGAGAAGAAGGTGGGTATTTGAAACTGGTGCTTCTAAATGGAGAGTTCCTTTGTCCTTAGGGTACAACATGGATTTGTTCTCTTTTAGGTGGGAGTGAATGTTCCCATTCCAGTGCCTTTGCCAATGTTCTCATTCACCGGCTCTCGATCCTCCTTCAGAGGAGACACGAATTTCTATGGCAAACAGGTAACTTTTGAGTTAAAATAGTTGTCTTTTCCTTTAAGAAATTTTCTTAAAGATATTCAAGAGCAAGGATTCTGCAAGGAAGGGCCTGCCAGCAGCATCTGTGGGGTCATTATCAGTGCTTCTCAGAAGGTTACCTAAAAAAGATTTAAAAGTTAACAAAATTTTGCCAAAGCTGCTTCTTCCTGAATAACTCAGAGTAACAAAGTTTTGAGGAAAGAGTATGGGGAAGTCCAAGCCTTTGATATGCCATTTCCTCAGCTCGTGACCCTCTTCTCCATCTCTCCCCTTTCATCTAACTCCTAATCATCTGTCATGTTCTTACTTTAAAGAATGGGCCCCTCCAGAAAACCTCCTCCAACCACCACAACCCTTTCTTCAGTGCTGGCTGGTATGTCCCCAGTGTGTTCCCACTGCACATATTTTTTCTGTAATAGTTATTCACTTACAAAAATATTATTGAACACCTTCTTTGTAGCAGACATTTTAGGCACTATGAATATAGCACTGAAGAAGAAAAGTAAAGCAGATCTGGAACCAAATTGCCTGCATTCAAATCCCAGCTCAGCCAGTTATTAGCTGTGTGACTTTGGAGGATACCTTCTCTTATTTATTTTATTTATGTATTTTTCTTTTTGAGACAGAGTCTTGCTTTGTTGCCTGGACTAGGGTGCAGTGGTGCGATCTTAGCTTACTGCAACCTCCGCCTCCCGAATTCAAGCAATTCCCCTGCCTCAGCCTCTGGAGTAGCTGAGATTACAAGGGCCCACTACCACACCCGGCTAATTTTTGTATTTTTAGTGGAGATAGGGTTTCACCATGTTGGCCAGGCTGGTCTTGAACTCCTGCCCTCAGATGATCCACCTGCCTCGGCCTCCCAAAGTGTTGGGATTACAGGCATGAGCCACTGCACCTGGTGGGGATACCTTCTTTATCCCTTAAATTATTCACATATAAAAAGAATAACAGTAGTACCTATATATTTCATAATGTAAGGACTGCTGTGGGCCTGGCACAGTGGCTCACGCCTATTATCCTAGCACTTTGGGAGGCTGAGGCAGGCAGATCACCTGAGGTCAGGGGTTTGAGACCAGCCTGGCCAAAATGGCAAAACCTCCTCTCTACAAAAAATACAGCAATTAGCCAGGTGTGGTGGCAGATGCCTGTAATCCCAGCTACTTGGGAGACTGAGGCAGAAGGATCCTTTGGACCCAAGAGACAGAGGTTGCAGTGAGCTGAGATTGCACCACTGCACTCCAACCTGGACAACAGAGCAAGACTCTGTCTCAAAAAAAAAAAAAAATTATTACTATTGCTACATTTGCCAGCAGGTGCATATGTCCTAAGGCAGGAAGAAACATGGCACATTCCAACAGTGGAAATGGGCTGGAGCACAGTGAGCAAATGAAGAAAGGGAAGAAATGAGGTTAAAGAGGCAGGCAGGAGTTGACTCATCTACAGCTCTTTAAGCCATGTAAAGAAGCACTCATCACGCTATAGTTGTTAATTACATATCTGCAGTACCTGGCACAGAGCAGGCTGCCCAAACATTTGTTGAACAAACAGGCTAGGGGAAGTTCTTTGTAGTCCCATAGGAATACAGCCATTTTAACCTTCATTAATAAATTATGTCTTTTTCTATACAAGTCTCCCCTTTTATAGGTTAATAATTTTTTTTTTCTGTGCCAGCTGTATCCTGCCAGAGGGCAGGGGATGTGGGACTTTATTTTATTTATGTTTGGGTTATTAAAAATTAACAATGGGATTGCATCACATTATGACAGTGTGGCCAAATAAGAAGTCAACAATTATCCAGTTAGTATATTAGTCACAGCTTTTGGTTTTTTGTTTATTTTGAGCTTTTATGCTTGTTTGTTTTTCTTTCTTTTTCAGATGGAGTCTTGCTGTCACCCAGGCTGGAGTGCAGTGGTGTGATCTCAGCTCACTGCAACCTCCACCTCCTGGATTCAAGCAATTCTCCTGTCTATGCCTCCTGGGATTACAGGCATGCACCACCACACCTGGCTAATTTTTGTATTTTTAGTAGAGACAAGGTTTTGCCATGTTGGCCAGGCTGGTCTCAAACTCCTGACCACAGGTGATCTGCCCACCTCGGCCTCCCAAAGTGCTCGGATTACAGGTGTGAGCCACCACACCTGGCCTAGTCACAGCTTTTGTAAAAATTACCAATTTGATACTAGTAACAAACATTTCTTTTAAGCAAAACAGAGTACAACTATTGTTTAAAATTGTTCCCTGCCCATCCTCCCATTTATTTATTTAGTTAGTCATTTTTTGAGACAGAGTCTTGCTCTGTCGCCCAGACTGGAGTACAGTGGAGCAGTCTTGGCTCACTTGTAACCTCCCCCTCCCAGGTTTAAACAATTCTGCCTCAGGCTCCTAAGTAGCTGGGATTACAGGCATCAGCCACCAGGTCCACTACTTGTTTTTGTATTTTTAGTACAGATGGGGTTTCACATGATGGCCAGGCTAGTCTCAAGCTCATGGCCTCAAGGGATCCGCTCACCTCAGCCTCCCAAAGTGCTGGAATTACAGGCATAGGCCACAGCTCCTGACTGCATCCCCCAGTTTAATTATTATATTTATATTATAATTACATTATATTACTCTGATAATTTGATAAAACATCATTCTAGCTTGCTAGTAACTGTATAATTGTTAAATTTGTACAATGTATTCTCATTTGCTCAAGCCTACTCTTATAAAATAAACTATATCTATATACAGAGAGAGCTGAATTTTGGGGCTCATATGTCATAGGTAATTTAGAAGTGAATTTGTATAATATCAGACATTTTACTTAGATTTGTAAGATACTTTGGGTTTTCCACTTCAATATAGAGCTCATGATCTCTGATAATTATCAGAAATGGGAGCAGTGGCTTCTGCCTGTAATCCCAGCACTTTGGGAGGCTGAGGCGGACAGATCAACTAAGGTCAAGAGTTCAAGACCAGACTGGCCAACCCCATCTCTACTAAAAATACAAAAATAGCTGGGTGTGGTGGCACACACCTGTAATCCCAGCTACTCAGAAGGCTGGGGCAGGAGAACTGCATGAACCTGGGAGGCAAAGGTTGCAATGGGCCAAGATCACACCACTGCACTCCAGCCTGCGCAACAGAGCAAGACTCCATCTCAAAAAAAATAAAGAAAGAAATGGCCTACTATATTACAGCCAAGGGCACAGTGGCTCACACTTGTAATCCCAGCACTTTGGGAGGCCAAGGAAGGCGGATCACTTGAGGTCAAGAGTTTGAGACCAGCCTGGCCAACATGGTGAAACTCCATCCCCACTAAAAATACATACAAAAAAGTAGCCAGGCGGGGTAGCATGCACCTGTTATCCCAGCTACGTGGGAGGATGAGGCAGGAGAATCGTTTGGATCCAGGAGGCAGAGGTTGCAGTGAGCTGAGATCATGCCACTGAACTCCAGCCTAGGTGACAGAGCAAGACTCCATCTCAAAAGAAAGAAAGAAAGAAAGAAAGAAATACTAGTTTCAGCATAATAATGATGGCTAAGGTTTGATTGTTTACTATCTGCCAGATATTATGTTAAATGTTTTAGATCAATTATCTTATGAACAATATATTGGATTTGGATTGCATTACTCAATTAGAAACGTAGCACTTTATAATACCTCCTTCAAAAGCTAATTAAAAGAAGAATTATGAAACCCCTGAAATATATGCTAACCTTTTTTCTGTTTTTCTTAGGGCATCCAATTCTACACTCAGTTAAAGACCATTACTTCTCAATGGAAAGAAGAAGATGCTACACTTTCCTCACCTGCTGTCGTCATGCCTACCATGGGCCGTTAGAAACAAGTTTGTTTTAAGACTCAGTCCATCCTGAGTAATCTCCCTTTATTTTTGACCAGATTTATTTTTCAGCTTTGCTCAGATCAGATCTATGGGACTGGAATACTAACTAAAATCTTCCTCAGGACTATTAGCCCCTGCAAAGTTTCTGTAGGGAGCTGCCTAGTGTAATCTGAAACCAGATTTTTCACTTACTCTTCATACTTCTATTTTTGAGGTAACTGTTGTAACCATGAAATTCTTATCTGAAATGAGTGCTTAAACCTGATTTCTAAAAATTATCCCCTTTTCTGATGACTCAAAGGGGAGAAAAGTCAGTGTATGTAAAGAAAATGTTCTGGCCAGACACGGTGGCTCATGCCTATAATCCCAGCGTTTTGGGAGGCGAAGGTGGGCAGATTGCTTGAGCCCAGGAGTTCAAGACCAGCCTGGGCAACATGGTGAAACCCTGTCTCTATTTAAAAAATTGAAAAAGTAAAAAAAAAAAAAAAAATTGAAAAGATGATGTTCCAGTAATTGCAAGAACTCTTAGATGGGGAAAGGGGAAACAGGATAGAAATAACTCACTGCTTTTGGTTGATCCTTTAACACAGCCCTACATAAATGCCACTGGGAGAGACCTCCTACAAAGTTTTCTTGTACCCCTCTTTTATCCAACAATATACAATATACAAGATATAATCCATTTTTATGTATCCCAAATTTATGGCAACAGCTTCTTTCTTTTCTGCTCAATGCCACTTTGTTTCCTAGTAATTCAGGACCATTATTTAATTCTGTCATTGTCACTGCTCCTGCTTCTTAAGATCATTTCTCAAGGATACCTCAGTAAGCAATGGCTAAGTCAACTTTTTGTTTTATGTGCTAAGTATTAAGTTTCAGGGTTCTCTTCAGCAATCATTAATGCTTCAGCCATTAATTCAGATGCAAATAATTTGAAAATTATTTCAAAAGTAAAATAGGTCCAGAAATCAAGGAGTGTTCCAACCATGAAAATGGGTAAGACACCTGCCTTAAGCAAATCTAACCTGATATTACTTGTTTATATATTCTTTTCTCTTGCCTGTATTTCTCATTAGTGATACTTTTTAATGAAAGAACTCTTCATGTAGAGCAATTGACTGGGACTAAGGAATTTCAAAGCTTTACATGACATAAAGTGGTTTAAAAATATGCTTTGACAGTCTTCTGCCAGTAGTTTAAGTATCTTTATGCTTTTTTTTTTTGAGCCGGAGTTTCACTCTTGTCGCTTAGTCTCGAGTGCAATGGTGTGATCTCAGCTCACTGCAATCTCCACTTCCCAGATTCAAGCAATTCTCCTGCCTCAGCCTCCTAAATAGCTGGGATTATAGGCATGTGCTACCACACGTGGCTAATTTTGTAGTTTTAGTAGAGACATGGTTTCTTCATGTTGGTTGGGCTGGTCTCACAAACTCCCAACCTCAGGTGACCCGCCTACTTCGGCCTCCCAAAGTGCTGAGATTACAGGCATGGGCCAGCGAAACCAGCCACCTTTATGCTTTTTGTTTCTTTGATATATTTAAACTTAAGGTCAGAACAGAAATTCATGCGCTGAACAGAATGGATTCTTTCTGCAGTACCATCCCAGTTGAATCTTCTGTTTTCCTGCTTCCTTACTAGTCACTTGAATAGTGCTAACCTACTCTATGGAAGTTATTTGGTGAATTAGGATGATTAAAAAAAGACCTTGAAAATATTGTGTAATCTGTGGATTTGAGGCTTATTACTACCACCTGACTGGATAGAATATCAAAACCTTCAATCATTTAAGGTGACTGAAACTTGTGTAAAATACATGATGACCCTACTGGGTCTTTTTTTTTTTTTCTTTCCTAAAGATGAGGCAATAGAAATTTATAATTTGAGACTATACTACCCCTTGTTTTAGCTCTTATCACAGCTGGCAACTGGTAGTGATATTTAATCCAATCCAACAACTATAAGCTGGATTGAATCAAAGGTCATTATTGTCTAAATTCCAAATGGAATTAAATATAGTCACAGAGACTCCTAACATTTTCCTTACATTTAAGGAAAATCACTTCTAAAAAAAACACACACTAATCAGAATTGTGCTGCTGTAATTAGAAACAACTTGTCTGGCCAGCTATTTGCTACTCAGAGAGTTTCTTATTTCTTAGAAGAAAAAAAAAATCTCATCAGTTATATTCATGTGATGCAGCTAAAAAGTCAGTATTTTATTTTCTTTGTGCTCTAATGTGGCTTTATTTGAAATTTCTCAAGATTCTACATTGTACTAATAGATTATGAATAACAAATTATAAATAAAAAACTCTTAAAAGAGAAAAACATGGCTTTAAAAAAATAATTTCATATTTCCTTATAAGCCTTTGTCCCCTGGGTTATACTGACTCTGACTTCCCACCTGTGATCCAAAGCCAAGAGTAACAAGGTCACTTTGCTTACTCTTACACAAAAAATAGTACACATTTTGGCTGGGCTGCTTACTTCAAAAGGCAACCTATAGATCTCCACACTAAAAGAGGCACAAATTTGCATTTGCATTAGTATAATATACATTTGTGTGGATATTGCTTTAAAAATTTATGTAATCTGGCCGGGCACAGTGGCTCACACCTGTAATCCAGCACTTTGGGAGGCTGATGTGGGCGGATCACAAGATCAGGAGATCGAGACTATCCTGGCTAACATGGTGAAACACAGTCTCCACTAAAAATAGAAAATATTAGCCAGGCATGGTGGCATGTGCATGTAGTCCCAGCTACTCAGGTAGCTGAGGCAGGAGAATCACTTGAACCTGGAAGGCAGAGGTTGCAGTGAGCTGAGATCGTACCACTGCACTCCAGTCTGGGCAACAGAGTGAGACTCCATCTAAAAAAAAAAAAATTATTTAATCTACTCATGGTATTTATTACTCATTCCACTGATCCCTGAAGTCTCTTAACTAGTAGAGAAAATAACTGATTTAGCAAGAAGCAACATGGGGAAAGGTGACAACAATATGTATTGTTTGGTTAGATACAGACTCCTTACTGTGTCAGACTCTTGAGATCCTTTTGGAATAGTGGGTAGCACCACTTTACCAGAAGAGTCTGATATCGGAACTTGCTGGGTGATAAAGGTTTGATCTTGAAGCTTACTTTCATCCCTGCAATAATGACAAAATAACAGAGCTGTCAACAACTCTACAAACACGAAACCTGGTTTAGAGTAATAGACTTGTCATATTACTTTCACTCAATTAGCACATTCAAGATGACTACAAGAATCATCATGTTGGGCTCATGTTCGTTACTTTAGCAAGAGAGCTTTTACCCAAATTCCTTTGTTTCTCCACTGTCAGAAACAACATAATCCGGAACTGGAGGCCTAGAACTCTGGTTGTATTTCCTGTGGTGGGTAAAAGTCAACAAAGATAATGAGGCAGTGTCTCCTAGTGCCTTCATATTTTCTTTTCGTATCTAAATTTTTTTTAATTTTTTTATTTTTGTTGGTAGATAGTAGGTACGTATATTTGTGGGTATGTGAGATGTTTTGATACAGGCATGTAATGTGAAATAATCACATCATGGATACCACATAGAATGAGGTATCCAACCCTTCAAGCATTTATCCTTTGTGTTAGAATCCAATTACTCTTTTATCTATTTTAAAATATACAACTGGCCAGGTGCAGTGGCTCATGCCTACAATCCCAGCACTTTGGGAAGCCAAGGAAGTGGATCACCTGAGGTCAGGAGTCTGAGACCAGCCCAGCCAACATGGTGAAACCCCATCTCTATTAAATTACGTAATTAGGGCCAGGCACAGTGGCTCATGCCTGTAATCCCAACACTTTGGGAGGCCAAGGCAGGTGGGTCACCTCAGGTCAGGAGCTCGAGACCAGTCTGGTCAACATGGTGAAACCCCATCTCTACCAAAAATAGAAAAATTAGCTGGGCATGGTGGCAGGTGCCTGTAATCCCAGCTACTCGGGAGGCTGAGGCACGAGAATCACTTGAACCTGGCAGGGGGAGGTTGCAGTGAGCCAAGAGTACATCACTGCACTCCAGCCTGGGCAACAGAGTGAGACGCCTTTTCAAAAAAAAAAAAATTAGCCAGGCAGGCACTGTGGCACGTGCCTGTAGTCCCAGCTACTACTCAGTAGGCTGAGGTGGGAGGATCACTTGAGCTTGTGTGTGATTGTGCCACTGCACTCTTCCCTGGGTGACAGAGTGAGACCCTGTCTCAAAATATATATATATACACTTATATTTGCAAACCAGTAAAATCTTAATAGTTGTTTTGTTTCTCTTCAGTTGCCACTGATTCAGCTGAACAATACTGTAACTCCTTAGTAAGCATTACCTTAAACATCTAAGATGAATCTTTCCCCTCCCTGTTTAATTCCAATTCATCTTTCATTTTCATGCTCATTCATTAATCCCATTCTTTATCTTTGGGAGTTAGAGCAGTTAAGCAGTAGGGCCTTTTTATATTTTCTGGTCCATTCCCATCCCTTTAGTTCTAAGTAAAAAGAGTAAGTTCACTGCTCCTATGTGGTTTCTAAATTTGATAACAACTTGATATTTCACTGCAGAAATAGGAAGTTACCTAGAAGCACAGCCATTCATTTTTGCAAAGAGCAATCTCAAGACTTTTTCCTTCTGCTCCCAGGTCAAATCTCCAATATCCACATTTCCTTCAATATGTGTCCTGAAGAATTTCAAAGGAAAAAAAAATGTGAAAAGGAAAAATATGGCCAAAGTAGGCTTCTCTTCTTTTTTAAAAGTATATAATGTGTAATCATAAGATAAATTCCATACCATAATTGAATATTATGAAACAACTATAAAGCAAACTATCACAAAATCATAAGTTGATAAGGACATCAATATACTAACCAATCCAAAATGTTACATATCATAAAGATGAAAATGACAAAAACTTTAACAACATGAAAAATATTTGTGCTCAGACATTAAGCAAATAAGCAAAATAGGAAACTCTAAGGAAGCTGGGCATGGCGGCTCATGCCTGTAATCCCAGCATTTTGGGAAGCCAATGGGGGTAGATCATGTGAGGTCAGGAGTTTGAGACTAGCCTACCAAACAGGGTGCAACCCCATCTCTACGAAAAATAGAAAAATTAGGCCAAGCACAGTGGCTCACGCCTGTAATCCTAGCACTTTCGGAGGCCAAGGCGACGGATCACAAGGTCAAGAGATCAAGACTATCCTGGTCAACATGGTGAAACCCCGTCTCTACAAAAACACAAAAATTAGCTGGGTTGTGGTATGCACCTGTAGTCCCAGCTACTCAGGAGGCTGAGGCAGGAGAATCGGGAGGCTGAGGTTGCAGTGAGCTGAGATGGCGCCACTGCACTCCAGCCTGGGTGGCAGAGTGACACAAAATCTCAAAAAAAAAAAAAAATATATATATATATACACACACACACACACACACACAAATCAGTTGGGCATGGTGGCACATGCCTGTAATCCCAGATACTCAGGAGGCTGACGCAGGAGAATTGCTTGAACTGGGAAATGGAGGCTGCAGTGAGCCAGGATTGCTACACTGCTTTCCAAACTGGGTGATAGAGTGAGACTCCGTCTCAATTAAAAAAAAAAAAAAAAACAAAGAAGAAGCAGGGAGCAATGGTTCATGCCTGTAATCCCAGCACTTTGGGAGGCTGAGGCGGGTGGATCATGAGGTCAAGAGATGGAGACAGACCATCATGGCCAACATGGTGAAACCCTGTCTCTACTAACAATACAAAAAATTAGCAGGGCATGATGGTGTGTGCCTGTAGTCCCAACTACTCAGGAGGCTGAGGCAGGAGAATCGCTTGAACCCGGGAGGTGGAGGTTGCAGTGAGCCAAGATTGTGCCACTGCACTCCAGCCTGGCAACAGAGCAAGATTCTGTCTCAAAAAAAAAAAAAAAATTAGCTGGGCGTGGTGCCACATGCCTATAATCCCAGCTACCCAGGAGACCGAGGCAGGAGAATCACTTGAACCTGGGAGGTAGAGGTTGCAGTGAGCAGAGATTGAACCACTGCACTGCAGCCTGGGAGAGACAGCAAGATTCTGTCTCAAAAAAAAAAAAAAAAAAAACTGTAATGTAACATGTATCTAGAGATATACACCGACAAAGGGAACAAGAAAAAAAAAGTTGTTTGGTGAAATGACTTATGTGTTTTTCCATTAACATTTCTTTTTGTATTAAATAGTTTACTGTGAAAACAGAGTAACCGAATGTTTAAAATAACATATAACTTATGTAGTCTATTTTCTTACCTTCAAACAAAAGTACAGGTAAACTTTCCAGACAGGGCTCTATCTACACTATAACTTTCCAGAGGAGTCATAGTCTAACTTTCTGTTTATAAAAGCTAACATGTAGAGTTCTGATACTGTAAAAAAATATTTTTTGCATATAGGTCAATTGGGCTAGTTTTTTTTTCTTTTCTTTTTTTCTTTAAATGCAACTGTTTTTGTTTTAAGTTTAAGTTTTGGCGCCAGGTGGGGTGGCTGATGCCTGTAAGCTCAGCACTTCGGGAGGCTGAAATGAGAGGATCACTTGAGCCTAGGATTTCAAGACCAGCCTGGACAACACAGGCAACACAGCAAGACCTCATCACCATTAAAAAATGAGAGAGAGAAAGAAAATATTTAAATTTTTTTTTTTTGTTTGAGACAGAGTTTCGCTCTTGTTACCCAGGCTGGAGTGTAATGGTACGATCTCGGCTCACTGCAACCTCCGCCTCCTGGGTTCAGGCAATTCTCCTGCCTCAGCCTCCTGAGTAGCTGGGATTACAGGTACGCACCACCATGCCCAGCTAATGGGTTTTACCATGTTGACCAGGATGGTCTCGATCTCTTGACCTTGTGATCCACCCGCCTCAGCCTCCCAAAGTGCTAGGATTATAGGTTTGAGCCACCGTGCCCAGCCTTAAAATTTTTTTAAATAAAAAATACAAGTTTAGGTTTGGGGCTGCAGTGAGCCAAGACTGCATGCACCACTGCCCTCCAGCCTAGGCAACAGAGCAAGACTCCATTAAAAAAAAAAAAAAGTTTAGGTTTTGGCCAGGTTCAGTGGCCTACACCTATGTAATCCTAGAGCTTTGGGAGGCCAAGGTGGGAGACTAGCTTGAGGCGAGGAGTTCAAGACCAGCCTGGGCAACATAGTGAAACCCTTTTCTCTATAAAAATGATTTAAAAATTAGTCTGACATGGTGGCATATACCTATAGTCCTAGCTACTTGGGGCGCTAAGGTGGGAGGATGGCTTGAGCCCAGCAGTTGGAGGCTACAGTGAGCCATGATGACATACTCCAGCCTGGGCAACAAAGACCCTGTCTCAAAAAAATAAAAAAGTCTAGATTTCATCTTATGATTACCATGTAACAAGACTTCTATCATGAGGCAGAGGGGAATGTACTAAGAATACATCCAAAGTCCCACATGCTATGCTAAGCACAGAAATTACAAAGATGAGTAAGTCAGTTCCTGTCCTCAGTAACCTACTGATCAATCTATTCAATAATTGAATATTATAAACTTTTCAGACTTATTTCTGTAAAGGACATAAAAATAGCAGCAAAAAAGATAATAAAGTATTACTAGTACCATTTTTCAGCCTCCAGAAGATCCTGATTCACACTATTGGTGCTGTGCTCTCTGCCATCAAATGTTCTGATTTTGGGATATTCTGTTCTTCCTGCACATGCTGCTCTCATTTTTAAATTGAAAGCAGCTTGTGCTATCTGCTTATAATGCTTCCTGCTAACTAGGATCTGTTGCTTCACTTGGTGTAGAGCATCTAAAAAGAATCTTTCCACTTCTGTTCTCTCATCCAGTATGTTCTTGGCCAGCTTCTTCACATGATTCATTTCCCTGTCCTTCATCTGAAGAAGGTGCTGCAGCTTATCAATTTCTACCTGACTCGCTCGGTTCTCTATCATTGCTTGTTGCTGCAGCTTTAAAACTTCACTCTCAAACTCTTTGGTCATGTGACTCAGAGCAGTCTCCAAGCTTAGTACCTTCTTCTGAAGGGTTTGGATTTGTGATCTCTGCTGGATAAGTTGCATAATCTTTTCCTTAACCAACAGATCATTGATCTCCTAAAAACAGAATGAGAGAGGTGATTTTTTTTTAAGACGGAGTCTTCTCTGTCATTCAGGCTGGAGTGCAATGGCATGATCTCAGCACACTGCAACCTCCATCTCCTGGGTTCAAGCAATATTCCTACTTCAGCTTCCCACGTAGCTGGGACTACAGGCATGTGCCACCACACCTGTATTCCCAGCTACTCGGGAGGCTTAGTCAGGAGAATCACTTAAACCCAGGAAGTGGAGGTTGCAGTGAGCCAAGATCGTGCCATTGCATTCCAGCCTGGGTGACAAAGTGAGACTCCATCTCAAACAAACAAACAAATATATATATATATATACACATATACGTATAACTATACAGTAGAACATTAATAACTATATTGGAAACTGTGGCATCTCCTTCTTGCCTATCCCAATATCTATTTTCCCTTTCTTCCTTAGTAATAAAACCCCAACTTCATTCAGAAAGGCAGTTAAGTCCAGCTGAAAATTCCCAGTCTCCCTTCAGGTTCAGCATAGCCATTTTCTAGTCAATAAAATCTAAGTGAAAAATATGTGTAGGACTTCCAGGAAGACCTCTTAAAGAGGCACACTTTTTTCTTCTTTTCTTCCTTCCTGCTATTTAAAGGAATGATTAGAGCCCCAGCAGCCCCCTTGGGTTGTGAGGTGAGTTTGAGGATGTAAGCCATGTGTTGCAGGTTAGAGTTAAGGAAGCTGAGTGTCTGTTCACTTTGTGGTACTACCATTCCTGCTGTAGATTGCTTACCTCCAGGCCTCCTTTAGGTGAAAGAATAAACCCTTGTGTGATGATGCCACTGATGTTAGGACTGTTAACTCACAGCTAAATGTATTCCTAAGTGACTCAGGGACCAACTCTAAGCAAAGAAAAATAAATATTCTAAGGAGGATAAGGGTCATATTTATGTTTCTGATATATTCTTTATAAAATTGAGTCTAATGCTTCTTATAAGCATTATAAGATTAACCTTTTCAGATTAAAAAAAAGTGCACCATCCAGACAGAAGAAAAATGGTCTCACTGTCGTTATATGTCATTATTATACTCAATTTTTGGTATTTACCAACTCAATCCTTAAAAAAAAAAGGAAACAAAGTCTGAATGAGAGGGAACCTTTTGATGTAAAAGTAAAGTATGACTCTCTTGCAACTTCTGGGAGTTTTTTTGTAGAGCGTCAGCTTCCTTCAGGTGATATGCCAGAGCTTTCTGGAGATAAACATTCTCTTTAAAAACATTTCTTCCAGCATCGTTCAATTGCCTGAAATAGATATAAGATCTCAAAACACAGGCCTAACTGTTAAATATCACTGAAATAGAAAAATAATTGCTTTACCACCTGCAGCCCCCAATATTAGCAATAGTGACCACCACTTATACTTATTTAGCTTAAGGTAGGTACTCAGAATAGGTGGAGATCTTTTTTTTTTTCTTTTTGAGACTCATCTACCCCTAAGGAAATCTTATAATTAAGTTCTCACCCAATAAAAAAGTGAAAAGGGCCGAAAGCGGTGGCTCAGATCTATAATCCCAGCACTTTGAGAGGCTGAGACAGGAGGATCACTGGAGCATAGGAATTTAAGACCAGCCTAGGCAACATAGTGAGACCCTATCTCTACAGAAAATCTAAAAAGTTAGCCGGGTATGGTGGTTTGCACCTGCAATCTGTCCCAGCTACTCAGGAAGCTGAGGAAGGAGGACCACTTGAGCCCAGTAAGTCGAAGCTACAGCAGTGAGCCGTGAATGCACCACTGTACTCCAGCCTGAGTGACAGAGCGAGACCCTGTCTTAAAACTAAATAAATCAAGTGAAAAAAAGATGTGTTACTTCTAATCTAAGGCAGTTAAGAGCAAGTATGAGTCTCCCATGCTCTTTCCTGTGCACATGACTGGACATGAAAAACTCCAACATGGCAGAGGTGCAAGAAGAAAGTAGCCAGGTTCCTGAATCATCCCTGGAAGAGAGTTGCCAGACCCACATTGGATTGTTCCATGAGCAAGAAATAAACCATTAAGTCCTGAGATTTAGAGGTACTTCCACTAACATACCTCATGACAACCCTGCAAGATTGCTATTATTAGCCCTTTTATTATTAATTTACTTTTATTTATTATTTACTTACTTTTATAAACTCAGATTACTGGGAGAAGTAAATTAGCCCTGCTTTTAGATGAGGAAATTTAACTTCAAGAAAGTTAAGAAATCTGGCTTGGCACAGTGGCTCACACCTGTAATCCCAACACTTGGAGAGGCCAAGGCGGGTGGATTGCTTGAGCCCAGGAGTTTGAGACCAGCCTGGGCAACATGGCAAAACTCTATCTCTAAAAAGAAAACAAAAATTAGGGTATGGTGGCATATACCTGTAGTCCCAGCTACTCTGGAAGCTGAGGTGGAAGAAACACTTAAGTCCAGGAGGTGGAGAATGCAGTGAACCGTGATTGCACCAATGTACTCCAGCCTGGGTGACAGAGCTGGACCCTGTCTCAAAAACAAACAAACAATAAAGGCTGGGTGCAGTGGCTCACGCCTGTAATCCCAGCACTTTGGGAAGCCGAGGCCGGCAAATCATAAGGTCAAGAGATCAAGACCATCCTGGCCAACATGGTGAAACCCCATCTCTATTTAAAAAATACAAAAATTAGCTGGTGTGGTGGTACACGCCTGTAGTCCCAGTTACTTGGGAGGATGAGGCAGGAGGATCGCTTGAACCAGGGAGCTGGAGGTTGTGGTGAGCCGATATCATGCCACTGCACTCCAGCCTGGCAACAGAATGAGACTCCATCTCAAAAAAAAATAAAAATAAAAAAAGGGTAAGAAATCTTCCTATGATTAGTTAGTATATTGTTCAGAACCAAAGTCAAGTTCAGTCTTGGCACACTGGATCAAGCCTGTAAGCCTAGCATTTTGGGAGGCTGAGGTGGGTGGATGACTTGATGTCAGGAATTCAAGATCAGCCTGGCCAACATGGCAAAACCCCATATCTACTAAAAATACAAAAATTAGCCAGGCATGGTGGTGGGTAATCCCAGCCAGTCAGGAGGCTGAGACATAAGAATCGCCTGAATTCAGGGGGTGGAGGTTGCAGTGAGCCAAGATCATGCTAGTGCACTCCAGCCTGGGTGACAGGACAAGACTCCATGTCAATAAATAAAGAAGCAAGCAAGTTCAAAGCCCAGGTTCTTTCCACCACACCATCCTGCCACAGAAAGAGTGGAGGTAAAAGGGGTGGGAGTACACGAAAAGAAAGGAACAGTGAGGGAGAGTAGACCAGAAAATTTGAAGAAAGCAAGCCAGGACATCAAGGGGAAGATAAGAAGGTAAGACGAAAACAGACCAGCAAAGAGGTAAGAGAGGCTATCAGAGTAAGAAAGGAGGCAGCATTCTCTTACACAATAGCCTCATGGTGGGCTCTCTCTGCCAGCATTACTATCTTCTTTTCAGCCTCTTGCTCTAGTCGGTGCTAAAAAAGAAAATGGGCTGCTTAAAAGTTATGCCTCTAACAGCAAATTTTACTCATCAAATAGTATTTATTTTAGAATGTCAAATAAAAAACTCTTGTCCCCATGACCTGAAAGAAGGACTCCAAGCACTGGTGGAGGAGCCAACACAGGAACCTTAGGGTACCCCTCAATTTCCCCATTTAAGGAAGCAATATAACATATAAATAGGGGAGAAAATTCCCTATGGGAAAGCAGAGCTGGGAGGAATTTCTGCTGAATGCATTGAAATAAGAGTCATTCGTTTATTCATTCAAGAATGGAAGCCCTCAGGACTAGGCTGTTCACAGTAGCTTCTCCCCCTCTACTCAACCCTAAACTTAATCCCTTTTTTACTTGGTATAGAAAATAAAAATTAGAAGTGCTTGGTCAGTTTAAAAAGTACTATGAGCATTGGCCAGGCACAGTGGCTCATGCCTGTAATCCCAGCACTTCAGGAGGCCAAGGCGGGTGGATCACCTGAGGTCAGGAGTTCAAGACCAGCCTGACCAACATGGAGAAACCCCATCTCTACCAAAAATACAAAATTAGTTGGGCATAGTGGTGACTAATTTTGGCCTGTAATCTCAGCTACTTGGGAGGCTGAGGTAAGAGAATTGCTTGAACCCAGGAGGCAGAGGTTGCAGTGAGCCAACATCATGCCACTGCACTACAGCTTGGGCAACAAAAGCGAAACTCCATCTCAAAAAAATAAATAAATAATAAGAGAATACTTGATCTTGGGCTTCAGGGTGAAAAAAAAAAGAAAAAGAAATAAGAGAATACTATGAGTATTAATAATTACCAGATTGTTTTATATACTGAAATTCTGTGGCAAACAAAACAGACAAGGTCCCTAATATATTGTAAGGTGAAATCTAAACAATAAGCAATAATTATCATGTTTTGAGCATTTATTATGTGCCAGGAACACTTCTAAGAACATTACATGTATCATTTATTTCTCACAGCACCCCTGTTATATAGATACTACTATTATACCCAAAAGCAGGGACTGAGGAAACAGAAAAAGAGAGGTTGGCCAGGCATGCTGGCTCAGGTTTGTAATCCTAGCACTTTGGGAGGCCAAGGTGGGACGACTAAATACCAGGAGTTCAAGCCCAGCTGAACAACATAGAGAGACCCCATCTCTAAAAAAAAAAAAAAATTATTATTATTTTTTTTTTTTTTGAGATAGAGTCTCAGTCTGTCACCCAGGCTGGAGTGCAATGGCATGATCTTGGCTCATTGCAACCTCCACCTCCCAGGTTCAAACAATTCTTTCACCTTAGCCTCCCAAGTAGCTGGGATTACAGGCACCCACCATCATATCCCGCTAATTTTTGTATTTTTGTAGAGACAAGGTTTCACCATGTTGGCCAGGCTGGTCTTGAAATCCTGACCTCAGGTGATCCACTCACCTTGGCTTCCCAAAGTGTTGGGATTGCAGGCATGAGCCACAGCACCTGGAGTGTTTTTTTTTTTAGACAGAGTCTCGCTCTGTTGTTAGGCTGGAGTACAGTGGCATGATCTTGGCTCACTGCAACCTCCACCTCCCAGGTTCAAGTGATTCTCCTGCCTCAGCCTCTCGAGTAGCTGGGACTACAGGCTGGAGCCACCACACCCAGCTAAGTTTTATATTTTTAGTAGAGACGGGTTTTCATCATGTTGGCCAGGATGGTCTTGTCTGTCGACCTCATGATCCACCTGCTTTGGCCTCCCAAAGTGCTAGGATTACAAGTGTGAGCCACCACACCAGGCCAAAAAAAACCCTTTTTAAATTAGGCATGACAGTGCAAGCCTGTGGTCCAGCTACTGAGGAGACTAAGGCAGGAGGACTGTGTGAGACTGGGAGGTAGAGGCTGCAGTGAGCCATGATTGTGCCACTGCATTCCAGCCTGGGTGACCCTGCCTTAAAAAATAAATAAATAAATAAAAATAAAAGAGAAGAGTTTATTGACTTGCCCAAAGTCACAAAGCTAGTAAGTGACAGAGCAGGGATTTACATGCGGGTCATCTGAGGCTATACAGTGCCCTAACAAGTAAACAAACAAAAAGAATTAATAAGGCCAGGCACATGGCTCACACCTGTAATCCCAGCACTCTGGGAGGCCAAGGTTGGTGGATCACCCAAGGTCAGGAGTTCGAGACCAGCCTGGCCAACATGGTAAAATCCCATCTCTAAAAAAATTTTTTTTAATTGAAAGAATTAACAGACTATGATAAATGCTATTAATAAAATAAATAAGGCAATAAAATAGTAACAGGAGGAGGTCCTTTTGTTATTTATTTATTTATTTATTTATTTATTTATTGAGACAGAGTCTCACTCTGTCAACCAGGCTGGAGTGCAGTGGCACTATCTCTGCTCACTGCAACCTCTACCTCCCAAGTTCAGGCAATTCTCATGTCTCAGCCTCCCAAGTAGCTCGGACTACAGGTGGTGCACACCACCATAACCAGCTAACTTTTGTATTTTTAGTAGAGATGGGGCTTAACTATGTTGGCCAGGCTTGTCTCGAACTCCTGACTTCAAGTGATCCACCGGCCTCGGCCTCCCACAGTGCTAGGATTACAGGCATAAGCCACTGCACCCAGCCTCATTTTAGATTAGAGTTTAGGAAATATCTCTCTAAAGAAATGGTATTTGGGCTCTAAATAAGAATGATCCAGAGCTGGAGGAATGGCATTCCAGAAAGACGAAATAGCAATATAAAAATATAGATGCAGAGGCTGGGCACAGTAACTCACGCCTGTAATCCCAGCACTTCAGGAGGCCAAGGCGGGTGGATCACCTGAGGTCAGGAGTTCCAACCTGGCCAACACGGTCAAACCATCTCTACTAAAAAATATAAAATTAGCCAGGCATAGTGGCATGCACCTGTAATCCCAGCTACTTGGGAGGGTGAAACAGGAGAATTGCTTGAACCCAGGAGGTGAAGGTTGCAGTGAGCCGAGATCATGCCATTGCCTTCCAGCCTGGGTGACAGAGTGAGACTTTGTCTTTAAAAAAATAATTATATATATATATATGATGGATGTAGGAGGACAGGGCTTTGTGATTCAAAGTAGAGAAAGAAATAAATTGGAAAATTAAACCAAACACCAATGACCTGGAAAATCCTTTATGTGGCTATGTGGGGCATGTCGAGCTATGAAGTAAATAAACAGGCCTATTGGAAAGCCCAATGCCATGAAACAGCAGCACTGGGGCTCAAACCAGCATAGGAGAAATATCCATGAAGTATATACCTAACATGGGGAGGCAGACCCTGCTGTGGATGTCCAAACCAACATTCATTCCCATCCTTCGTTTTCCTTCCCAGCTTCTATTAGTGGCTGGGAAAACGAAACACTCACTTTCGAGAGAGAGAGAGAGAGAGAGAGAGAGAGAGAGAGAGAGAGAGAGAGAGAGAGTGTGTGTGTATGAGAGAGAGGAAAAAAAAGAGTGTGACTTGCTCTGTCGCCCAGGATGGAGTACAGTGGCACAATCATGGCTCACTGCAGCCCTGAATTCCTGGGCTCAAGCAATCCTTGAGCCTCAGTCTCCAGAGTAGATGGGAGGACAGCGTGTGCCACCCAGCATTCTTTTTTTTTTTTTTTTTTTTAGACGAAGTCTCACTCTGTCACCAGGTTGGAGTGCAGTGGCGCAATCTTGGCTCACTGCAACCTCTGCCTCCCAGGATCAAGTGATTCTCCTGCCTCAGCCTCCCAAGTAGCTGGGACTACAGCTGCGCACCATCACACCCAGGTAATTTTTGTATTTTTAGTAGAGACAGGGTTTCACATGTTTGCCAGGATGGTCTTGATCTCTTGACCTTGTAACCCACCTGCCTCAGCCTCCCAAAGTGCTGGAATTACAGGCGTGTGCCACCATGCCCCCCACCCAGCATTCTTTATAACATGGTTCTGGTCAGTGAGATGTAAGAGAAAATGTGCTAAGAGCTTCTGGGAAAGTTGTTATGGCTTCCAGATAAAAGGGACAGACACAGCTGAAGCTTCCCTTCTTGTCTTTAACACAAAACTTCAAACTGCAATAACTATCTTGTAGCCATGAGGGAAAGGCCAGCAGCTACCTACTCTCATACATAAAAATCCTATTAAGCCGGGTGTGGTGGCTCATGCCTGTAATCCAAGCACTTTGGAGGCCAAGGTGGGTAGATCACCTGAGATCGGGAGTTCAAGACCAGCCTGACCAACATGGTGAAACCCCGTCTTTATAAAAATAAATAAATAAAATAAAATAAAAATCCTATTTACATAAGCACTGTTGTTGGGGTATTCTGTAAACTGACCAACTGTTTCTAACCTTCATTTTCTACACCCAGTAGAAAAGAGATCAAGATTAGGGCGGAACAGGAGTGGCTCATGAGAACAGCCTATTCCTGAAGGCTTCCATTCCTGTGCCAGGAAGGTCTTCAGAAGGAAAGCACCAAGGTGCTGCTCTTGCCCCATTTCCTCCAGGTTTTTCCATACACAAACTGGAAACCTAGAGTCACTTTCTATAGCAATTCCTTTTGTCTAAACCTCATAGGAGCAGCACATGGTGGCACATGCCTGTAACCCCAACACTTCTGGAGGCCAAGATGGAAGGATTGCTGGAGCCCAGGAGTTTCAGACCAGCAACACAGTGAGATCCCATTTTGGATTGTTTTTTGTTTTTGTTGTTATTTGAGACCAAGTCTCACTTTGTTGCCTAGGATGGAGCGCAGTGGAGCAGTCTTGGCGCACTGCAACTGCTGCCCCCCAAATTCAAGCAATTCTCCTGCCTCAGCCTCCTGAGTACCTGGATTACAGGTGCACACCACCATGCCCAGCTAATTTTTGTATTTTTAGTAGTGACACAGTTTCTCCATGTTGGCCAGGCTGGTCTCAAACTCCTGGCCTCAAGTAATCCACCCGCCTTGGCCTTCCAAAGTGCTGGGATTACAGGCATGAGCCACCGTGTCTGGCTCAGCGAGATCCCATTTCTACAAAAGGTAAAAATTAGCCAGGTATGTTGATACATGTCTGTAGCCCCACCTACTCAAGAGACTGAGGTAGGAGGATTGCTTGAGCCCAGGAGGTGGGGGTCAAGGCTGCAGTGAGCTGTAAGGGCACCACTGCACTCCAGCCTGGGTGACACAGAGCAAGACCCTGTCTCAAATAAACAAACAAGCAAACAAACAAAACCTCATTTGGCCCACCCTCAAGTGCCTACACTCCTACCAATTTCTGAAAGACTATTTAATTCTTCCCTAATAACAAAAAAATTAAAGATTAAAATAAAGAATAACCATGAGGCCTCTGAAAGGATTCTGTAGAAGTGTTCCAATGTACTTCCCACGATTTGGAGAATTAACTTCAGAAACACAAAAAAGTTGGAAGCTGTGTTGTGCTAAGGAACATTTTTTTTTTTAAGATGGAGTCTCACTCTACCACTTAGGATGGAGTGCAGTGGTGCAATCTTGCCTCACTGCAAGCTCTGCCTCCTGGGTTCAAGCAATTCACCTGCCCCAACCTCCTGAATAGCTGGGACTATAGGCACGTGCCATCACGCCCAGGTAATTTTTGTATTTTAGTAGAGATAGGGTCAGGCTGGTCTCCATCACCTCAGGTAATCCACCCACCTCAGCCTCCCAAACTGCTGGGATTACAGGCATGAGCCACCATGCCCGACCTAAGTAATATTTTTGATTAACATCTTTAGCTCAGCTTGACCAAGGAAACATTTTTGCACACATACCATGGAGTACATGTAGCTTTAGTCTCATCAGGGGAATATCAAGCTGAGGCAGACATGTCCAAAGCCTTCAGAAGAGGACAAGAATCTCTGAATAGGAGAGTAGATACTGAGATTTCTAGGTTTTACTTTTCTTGATTTTATTGAGCTATAACAACAAGGCCAGGCGCGGTGGCTCACGCCTGTAATCCCACACTTTGGGAGGCCGAGGCGGGTGGATCACGAGGTCAAGAGATCGAGACCATCCTGGTCAACATGGTGAAACCCCGTCTCTACTAAAAATACAAAAAAATTAGCGTGGTGGTGCGTGCCTGTAATCCTAGCTACTCAGGAGGCTGAGGCAGGAGAATTGCCTGAACCCAGGAGGCAGAGGTTTTGGTGAGCTGAGATCACGCCATTGCACTCCAGCCTGGGTAACAAGAGTGAAACTTCATCTCAAAAAAACAACAAAAAACCAATCTTCTAATTTTCCAATAAGATACCAAATGAAAGGCTGATGTCTCAGCATGCATGTGAATACAGTTATGTTGTTCTAGTAAACAACACATTTTAAATTAGCCCTAATAATCTATACCTTTTCTTCAAAAAATTTGCTTTCCAGTCTTCTAAGAGTCTCCTGATGTATCTGCTCTGTGTTTCTTAAATTGTCCTTCAGCTAAAATGAAAAAAATAAACAAATAAAAATGGTTAATAAAAATGGGGTTCATTGGGCATATTATCAGAAAATTATCAATAAGGAAACATTTTCTGTTATATATTACCTCTTATTCCTAAACACACAGAAAAATTCTGTGGTCCTACCTCTGAGTACCAAATTTCCCTCAATCATCTACAGATTGGTAACATTAGTACAGTGCTCCCCCCACTTATGTGCAGTTTCACTTTTTGCAGTTTCAGATTACTGCCATCAATGATAGTTCCAAAATATTAAGAGGCTGAGCATGGTGGCTCACACCTGTAATCCCAGCACTTTGGGAGGCCAAGGTAGGCAGATTGCTTGAAGGAGTTTGAGACCATCCTGGGAAACATTGCCAAATCCTGTCTCTACAAAAAATAGCTCAGTGTGGTGGTGCACACCTGTAGCTCCAGCTACTCCAGAACTGAGGCTGAGGTGGGAGGATCACTTGAGCCCAGGAGGAGGAGACTGCAGTGAGCCCAGATTGCTCCAGCCTGGGCATCAGAGCGAGACCAGTCTCAAAAATAATAATAATAATAAAAAAGATGTTTTGAGAGGGAGGGAGGGAGGAACACAACATTAACAAGATTTTCAAAATTAATATCAACATACAAGTTTATAGAAGTATCTACTATCCCACTGTATGTGGAGATGGATTTTTCATCCACCATTAGACTCCCTCAAAAATCTATAAATTTATTGAGGAAATTTCATCTAGCTATAGATTTTTTTAAAAAAAAGAAAGAAAAAAACCCCAAAAATCTATAAATTAATGAAGCTTTCAAAAGATAAGTAGGCAGCACACATCACAAACCTTTAAAAGCTCATGTCTATTAACCCATAAAATTTGGGTTATCCTAAAAATTATACATAGGCTAGGTGCAGTGGCTCATGCCTATAATCCCAGCACTTTGGGAGGCCAAGGCAGGTGGATCACCTGAGGTCAGGAGTTTAAGACCAGCCTGACCAACATGGTGAAACCCCGTTTCTACTAAAAACAAAAACAAATTAGCCAAGTATGGTGGCACATGCCTGTAATTCCAGCTGCTCGGGAGGCTGAGACAGGAGAATCGCTTGAACCCAGGAGGTAGAAGCTGCAGTAAGCCGAGATTGCACCATTGCACTCCAGCCTAGGCAACAAGAGTGAAACTCCATCTCAAAAAAACAGAAACAAAACTAAAGATATAGAAAAATATTTCATTTCTTAGATGTTCCCCACAGTTTATAATAGTAAAAAACGAGGAAAAAGTCCAAATGTCCAACAGCAAGCAACCAATAAATAAATAAAGATATAGCTACCCTGGCTGGGCACAGTGGCTCACACCTGTAATCCCAGCACTTTGGGAGGCCAAGGCAGGTGGATCACCTGAGGTCCGGAGTTTGAGACCAGCCTGACCAACATGGTAAAACCCCATCTCTACTAAAAATACAAAATTAGCTAGGCATGGTGGCACATGCCTGTAATCCCAGCTACTCAGGAGACTGAAGCAGGAGAATCTCTTGAACCCAGGAGGCAGAGGTTGCAGTGAGCTGAGATTACGCCATTACACTCCAGCCTGAACAAGAAGAGCAAAACTCCATCTCAAAAGAAAAAAAAATTAAATAGATGCATGGAATTCCACTGAATAGCTATATCTTTTTTTTTTTTTTGGAGACAGAGTCTCACTCTGTCTCCAGTCTGGAGTGCAGTGGCACAATCTTGGCTCACTGCAATCTCTGCCTCCCAGATTCAAGCAATTCTTCCGCTTCAGCCTCCTGAGTAGCTGGGACTACAGGCGTATCCACGACAGCCAGCCAATTTTTCCATTTTTAGTAGAGACAGTGTTTCACAATGTTAGTCAGGCTGGTTTCTAACTCCAACCTCAGGTGATCTGCCTGCCTTGGCCTCCCAAAGTGCTGGGATTACAGGCGTGAGCCACTGTGCCTGGCTTACCAAAAAAATGTTATAGAAAATATTTATATGGCAGAAAAATGTTACAAGATATAAAGTAAAAAATAAGGTTAACAATTTGTATCACTTTTATAAAAATAACATCACTATTTTTAGATGTTTCTACAGTAGAGGAAAAAAACTGTACAATGGTTACATAGTGTAATTGTAAACCATGGAGTATTTTTATTATCTAATTTTCTCAGCTAAGCTAAATTTGTTGAAGTGAGTATTAACACTGTTGAAAGAAGACTAAAACTATTTAAAACATAGTAACTGCAATCTAACAATATATACAATATATACTGCTTCTGTTAATCAGGTATATAGAAATCATTTGTTTCTTTTTCTGTTCTTTTTTCAGACACAGGATCTAGCTCTGTTGCCCAGGCTGGAGTGCAGTGGTACAGTCTTGGCTAACTGTAACCTCTGCCTCCCAGGCTCAAGCCATCCTGCTATTTCAGGCTCCAGAAGAGCTGGGATTAGAGACACATACCACCAGGCCCAGATAATTTTTATAGTTTTCGTAGAGATTGAGTTTCTCCATGTTGCCTAGGCTGGTCTGAACTCCTAGGTTCAAGTGAAACACCTACCTTTGCCTCTCAAAAGTACTGTTATTACAGGTATTAGCCACTGTGCACAGCCAGAAATAATTTTTTTTTTTTGAAATGGGGTTTCACCATCTTGGCCAGGCTGGTCTCAAACTCCTGACTTCAGGTGATGCACCCACCTCAGCCTCCCAAAGTGCTGAAACTACAGGTGTGAGCCACCGCACCCAGCCACAGAAATTTTTTCTTTAAAATATATGCCTTGAAGACCTTTTGAGAATCTCAATTTAATTAGCTCTCTTTGTAATTTGTATAATGAATTCTATATACACAGTATAATTTTTTTTCCCTAATGTATATCTCCCAATTTAAAATTCATGGGCCCTCACACTTGCCACAATTGTGTCACATTTGGGATTCCACAGTACCACCTTATTTTTTCCCATAAGCCACTATCTTTTGAATTTTAAGTCTTCCTCCACTGCCCACTTTGAAAGGTCTAAAATTAAAAAAAAAAAAAAAAAAAAAAAAAAAAAGGGTCTGAAATCTATTTCTCCACTGGGTGGCAACACTATTCTTTAAAAAAAAATTACATCATGGCCTACTTGAATATGCACAACTAGTTTTTAATTCATTTTGATTCATAATGTACATCTAATACATAGGCTATTTTAAGAGTTTATGGGCCGGGCACGGTGGCTCAAGACTGTAATCCCAGCACTTTGGGAGGCCGAGGCGGGTGGATCATGAGGTCAAGACATCGAGACCATCCTGGTCAACATGGTGAAACACCGTCTCTACTAAAAATACAAAAAATTAGCTGGGCGTGGTGGCGCGTGCCTGTAATCCCAGCTACTCGGGAGGCTGAGGCAGGAGAATTGCCTGAACCCAGGAGGTGGAGGTTGCGGTGAGCCAAGATCATGCCATTGCACTCCAGCCTGGGTAACAAGAGCAAAACTCCATCTCAAAAAAACAAACAAAAAAAAAGAGTTTGTGAAAGTTAATTATGTTGATTCAATCTGCGGCATTTTCATATAAAACACAACTTGTATTCCTTCTAGAAAAGTTGACATTCTTTCAATTATGTTTTTAACAAAAAGATCCACCCGGCATTTAACAAAGATTGATTCAACATTACTGTGTATCTTATTTTTCAATGAATACAAAGGGCAACTCTGTTCATGCCTCAAATGAGTGCAATCTATTAGGGGAGATAAGATAAATTACAAATAAATGTAATATCAAGACAATATCTTTAGGCGCATAAAAGGACAGGGAAAAAAAGACAGAATGGGGCTAAGTGGTATAAAAGAGATAAAAAATGCTATGGAAACATACAGAAAATTATTACTTTTAAATGGGACTCTAGGGGAAGGTCTAATGGAGAACATGAATTTTAGCTGAGCCTTCGAAAGACAGGTGGCTAGGCATGGTGGCTCATGCCTATAGGCCTAGCACTTTGAGAGGCCCAGGCAGGCAGACCGGCAACAGCAAAACCCCATCTCAAAAAAAAAAAAAAAATACAAAAATTAGCCAGGTGTGGCATGCATGCCTGTAGTCCTGCCTACTCAGGAGGGTGAAATGAGAGAATCACTTGAGCCCAGGGAAGTAGAAGCTGCAGTGAGCCATGACTGCACCACTGTACTCCAGTCTGAGTGACGGAGCGAGACTCTGTCTCAAAAAAAAAAAATAATATTTTTAATGGGCAAAGATCTATCAGGATTATATTCCGGATAAAAGAAACAATGTCAACAATGTAACAAAGAGACAAGATTTCAGGGATTAATGAATGGTGAATTAAAGGAATTGTGAAGGTAGGTGGGTATGTAGTAAAAGGAAATAATGTTTCCAGGTAAGTACAGGGTCTTGACTTTCACACTAAGTTGTGGCAACAATATTCTGTTTACAGTAGAGAAACACTAAAGACAACTTTTTTTTTTGAGACAGTCTCACTCTGTCACCCAGGCTGGAGTGCAGTGGCATGATCTTAGCTCACTGTAACCTCCGCCTCCCAGGTTCAAGCGATTCTCCTGCCTCAGCCTCTGGAATAGCAGGGATTATAGGCACATGCCACCATGCCTGACTAATTTTGTATTTTTTAATAGAGACAGGGTTTAGCCATGCTGGACACGCTGGTCTCGAACTCCTGACTTCGGGTGATCCACCTGCCTCAGCCTCCCAAAATGCTGGGATTACAGGTGTGAGCCACTGTGCCCAGTCTAAACACAACTCTTGAAGGACGTGACCAGAACTGTGATATTTTAGGCCGGGTGTGGTGGCTCATGCCTGTAATCCCAGTACTTTGGGAGGCTAAGGTTGGTGGATCATCTGAAGCCAGGAGTTTGAGACCAGCCTGGTAAACATGGTGAAACCCCATCTCTACTAAAAATATGAAAAATTAGTCTAGCATGGTGGCATGTGCCTATAGTCCCTGCTACTTGGGAGGCTCAGGCACCAGAATCACTTGAACCCAGGAGGTCAAGGTAGCAGTGAGCTGAGATTGCATCACTGCACTCTAGTGTGGGTGACAGAGCAAGACTCCATGTCAAAAAAAAAAAAAAACAAACCTATGGGCCAGGCACAGTGGCTCATGTCTGTAATCCCAGCACCTTGGGAGGGCAAGGTGGGCAGATCATGAGGTCAGGAGTTCAAGACCAGCCTGACCAATATGGTGAAACCCTGTTTCTACTAAAAATACAAAAATTAGCCAGGCATGGTGGCGCGCACCTATAGTTCCAGTGACTCGGAAGGTTGAGGCAGGAGAATCTCTTGAACCCGGGAGGAGGAGGTTACAGTGAGCCAAGATCGTACCACTGCACTCCAGCCTGGGCAACAGAGCAAGACTCCATCTCAAAAAACAAAAACAAGGCCGGGCGTGGTGGCTCACGCCTATAATCCCAGCACTTTGGGAGGCCGAGGCGGGTAGATCACGAGGTCAAGAGATCGAGACCATCCTGGTCAACAAGGTGAAACCCCATCTCTACTAAAAATACAAAAATTAGCTGGGCATGGTGGTGCGCGCCTGTAGTCCCAGCTACTCGGGAGGCTGAGGCAGGAGAATTGCTTGAACCCAGAAGGTGGAGGCTGCAGAGAGCCGAGATAGTGCCATTGCACTCCAGTCTGGGAACAACAGCGAAACTCTGTCTCAAAAAAATAAATAAATAAAAGAAAGAAAAGAAAAGAAAAAACTGTGATTTTTAAAAGTATTCCTGTAGCTGCATATACACTGAACTATAGTGGTATGGTAGTTTTAAAATATGTCTACAAGTTCTTTGACACTCCTCCCTTCAAATGGCAGAAACTAATTCCCCACTCCTAGGAATGTGTGCCAGACTTAAGGATTCACTTTTAGCTATTAATAATAAAATATGGTGAAAATAATGCTATGTGACTTCAAAGCCTAGGTCATGAAAAAGACAGCTTCTGGCCAGGCGTGGTGGCTCATGCCTGTAATCCCAGTACTTTGGGAGGCCGAGGCAGGCAGATGACAAGTTCAAGAGATTGAGACCATCCTGGCCATGGTGAAACCCCGTCTCTACTAAAAATACAAAAATTAGCCGGGCGTGGTAGCACGCGCCTGTGGTCCCAGCTACTTGAGAGGCTGAGGCGGAAGAATCGCTTGAACCCAGGCGGAGGTTGCAGTGAGCCGAGATTGCACCACTGCACTCCAGCCTGGTGACAGAGTAAGACTCCATCTCAAAAAAAAAAAAAAAGAAAAAAACAGCTTCTGTCTACATCTCATTTAAATTATTCACTCTGGACACACATGTACACAGGGAGGGGAGCACTACACACTGGGGTCTGTTGGGGGGAAATAAGGGAGGGACAGCGGTGGGTGGGGAGTTGGAGAACATGGGGAGAAATGCCAGATATAGGTGAAGGGGAGGAAGGCAGCAAATCACACTGCCACGTGTGTACCTATGCAACAATCTTGCATGTCTTCACATGTACCCCAAAACCTAAAATCCAATTTAAAAAAATTAGCAAAAAAAAAAAAAAATTGTTCACTCTGGATGAAGTCATGAGAACATACAAGCACCTTATAAAAGGGCCCATATGGGTCAAGCATGGTGGCTTGCGCCTATATTCCAAGCACTTTGGAAGGCTGAGGCAGGCAGATCACTTGAGGTCAGGAGTTTGAAACCAGCCTGACCAAAATGGTGAAACCCTGACTCTACTGAAAAAAAAAAAAAAATTAGCTGGGCATAGTGGTGCACGTCTGTAATCCTAACTACTTGGGAGGCTGAGGCAGCGAGAATCACCTGAACCCAGGAAGTGGAGGTTGCAGTGAGTTGAGATCATGCCACCGCACCCCAGCCTGGGCAACAGTGTAAGACTCTGTCTCAAAAAACAAAACAAAACCAAAAAAACCCATGTAAGGAGAGGTCTCCCACTAATCACCAGCATCAACTTCACAGGCACTTGAGTGTGTCTCCTTGGAAGCAAGTCCTCAAGCTCCAATCAAGCCTTAAGATAGATGACTGTAGCCCATGTTATATACTAAAGTATTTCCCCCATAGAAATCAGCAAATGCTACAAATCCATACTTTTTTTTTTTACAGAGAGCTGCACACCTCTGTTCATATAATTTTTACGATATGACATGCTATTTTATGCACTTTACATATTTAGCAACTCTTACTTTGTTTTACTTTATTTTTGAGACATAGCCTCACTCTGTCACCCAGGGTGGAGTGCAGTAGTGCAATCACAGCACACTATAGTCTCAATCTCCTGGGCTCAAGTGATCCTCCCACCTTAGCCTCCCAAGTTGCTGGGACTACAGGTACGAGCCACCATGCCTGGCTAATTAAAAAAACATTTTTTTTGGCCGGGCATGGTGGCTCACGCCTGTAATCCCAGCACTTTGGGAGGCCGAGGCGGGTGGATCACGAGGTCAAGAGATCAAGACCATCCTGGCCAACGTGGTTAAACCCCGTCTCTACTAAAAATACAAAAATTAGCTGGGCATGGTGGCACGCGCCTGTAGTCCCAGCTACTCGGGAGGCTGAGGCAGGAGAATTGGTTGAACCCAGGAGGCGGAGGTTGCGGTGAGCTGAGATAGTGCCACTGCACTCCAGCCTGGGTAACAAGAGCTAAACTCTGTCTCAAAAAAAAAAAAAAAAAAAAAATTGTTTTTGGCCAGGTGCAGTGGTTCATGCTTGTAATCCCAGCACTTTGGGAGGCTGAAGCAGGCAGATCACAAGGTCAGGAGTTCAAGACCAGCCTGGCCAACACAGTGAAACCATGTCTCTACTAAAAACACAAAAATTAGCTGGGCGTGGTGGTGGATGCCTGTAATCCCAGATACTTGGTAGGCTGAGGCAGAACTGCTTGAACCCGGGAGGTGGAGGTCTCAAACAAACAAACAAAATTTTTTTGTTGTAGAGGTGGGATCTCACTATGTTACCTAGGCTGGTCTTGAACTCCTGGCCTCAAGAGATTCTCCAGCCTTGGCTTCAAAAGTGCTAGGATTACAGGCATGAGCCACTATGTCTGGCTGAGATACTCTTACTATCCCATTTTACAGATGAGGAAACCAAGGTATAAAAAAGTTAAGTAACTTGCCTATAGTCACAAAGCTAATTTCAGCTATCTGTTCCTGGAACTCACCTGTGCCATTTATTGAATTATCAGTATGTAATAAAACTATATTCTAAGCCAAGGAAGTAAGAGAAACTTTCTGAAAGTACTTAGTGTTTCTCGTCCCCTGACCCCTAATATAGAGCCTTCTAAATTTCTCTAAAACTAGGCCAGGTGTGGTGGCTCACGCCTGTAATCCAAGCACTTTGGAGGCCAAGGTAGGCAGATCACCTGAGGTTGGGAGTTCAAGACCAGCCTGACCAACATGGTGAAACCCCGTCTTAAGTAAATAAATAAATAAATAAATTTCTCTATAACTATCATTCATTAGCCTAAATATTTTTCTTTGGAAGTCTGCTACTTTTGACTGGGTGCAGTGGCTCACACCTGTAATCCTAGCAACTTTGAGAGGCCAAGGTGGGTGGATCATGAGGCCAGGAGATTGAGATCATCCTGGCCAACATGGTGAAATCTTGTCTCTACTAAAAATACAAAAATTAGCTGGATGTGGTGGCGCATGCCTGTAATCCCAGCTACTCAGGAGGCTGAGGCAGGAGAATAGCTTGAACCATGGAGTGGGAGGTTGCAATGAGCCAAGATCGTGCCACTGTACTCCAGCCTGGGTTACAAAGCAAGACTCCATCTCAAAAAATAAAATAAAATAAAATAAAGAAGTATGCTACTGTGTCCCTGATATATTCTAAGAACTTGTAGTTTGTTTCTTACTAAATTCAATCCAAAGGGTTACCTGTTGATAAGCACAGGAGGATGTGTCAGCTGAGATTTGGTGAGTTTCCAAAGCAATCAATGATTAGAAAAAGAGAAGTCTTAAGTCAAGACCTTTGACAGCCAGTCCTACCCTGATATGTCTTCACCTTTTTCCTCTTAAATAATTTCTAAAATGTCAAAGTTCTTTGCTGTCTCACAGGAGTAAATGTTTGTGAAGGCTTCTGTAGGCATTAAGTAGTTAATTCTAATTTCTTTTTTTTTTTTTTTTTTAAAAAAAGGAATAAAACTTACATCATCTAACTCTCTCTCCACTTGCATTTTTCTCTTCTGGAATTGTCTTACTGTTTTCAGCTCTGTGTGAATCATGCCAATTTCTTTGGCTTTTTGATGAAACTGTCCCTCTAGTTCATTGATTTGCCTGGTATACTTTTGTTCCTGTATTCAAAAAAGAGGTAAACAAGTTAGGAAAAAGAACGGAAGTCCCACTGAGTTGTTTCATTTAATGCCTTAATCCATTTGCATACCTTCTTTGAAGAAATACCTGCTACTGGCCAGGCATGGTGGCTCACCCCTGTAATTCCAGCACTTTGGGAGGCTGAGGTGGGCAGATCATGAGCTGAAGAGATCGAGACCATCCTGGACAACATGGTAAAACCCCATCTCTACTAAAAATACAAGAATTAGCTGGGCATGGTGGCACATGCCTGTAGTCTCAGCTACTCGGGAAGCTGAGGCAGCAGAATCACTGGAAACCAGGGGGTGGAGGTTGCAGAGAGCCAAGACTGTGCCACTGCACTCCAGCCTGGCCACAGAGTGAGACTCCATCTCAAAAAAAAAAAAAAGAAATACCCCCGTTTAGGGTTTTTTTTTCTATTTTTATATTATTTATTTATTTTTGAGACAGAGTCTCACTCTCTTGCCCAGGCTGAAGTGCAGTGGCATGATATCAGCTCACTGCAACCTTTGTCTCCTGGGTTCAAGCAATTCTCCCTGCCTCAGCCTCCCAAGTAGCTGGGATTACAGGTGCCCACCACCACACTCAGCTAATTTTTGTATTTTTTAGTAGAGACAAGGTTTCCATGTTGGCCAGGCTGGTCTTGAACTCCTGATCTCAGGTGGTCTGCCTGCCTCAGCCTCCTAAAGTGCTGGAATTACAGGCGTGAGCCAGTGTGCCCAGCCCCCCTTTTATTTTTGCATAAAGTTTTCATTTCTGTAAAAAGATACCAACTGCATTAAATAAGAAAAAATTTTGGCTGGGTATGTTGGCTCACGCCTATAATCCCAGCACTTTGGCAGGCCTAGGTGGGCAGATCACAAGGTCAGGCATACAAGACCAGCCTGACCAACACAGTGAAACCCCATCTCTACTAAAAATACAAAAATTAGCTGGACATAGTGGCATGTACCTGTAATCCTGGCTACTCAGAAGGCTGAGGCAGGAGAATAGCTTGAACTTGGAAGGTGGATATTGAAGTGAGCTGAGATTGCGAAACTGCACTCCAGCCTGGACAACAGAATGAGATTCTATCTCAAAAGAAAAAATTTTGGAAAAGTGTCTATATAAGCTGATTGTATGGAAAGGAAAAAAATTCAGATGTTTATGAAAAAGGAATATGAGAAAACTAAACATACTTTTTATCTCTAATATAAATAACATCCCAAACTAAGTTAAAATTAATTAGCTAGGAGTCAAAGGGAGGGTGGTAAACATTCCTAATAAATAAAGAGGTAGGTAGGAGAAAGAAAGAGGTTGAGGAAGGAGGAGGGAGAAAAGGGGAAAGAGACATAAAAGAAGGGAGGAAGAGGAGAGGGAAGTGAAAGCAAAAGGACAGAGAAAAGGAAGGGGAAAAAAAGGAAAGGCCAAAAACAAAAAATGAACAAAAGGTATGAAAAGAAAGGCAAATGGCCATCAAATGTGAAAAAATGTCCAACCTACCTCTTAATAAGAGAAACAGGTAGAGTGGGGTGGCTCACACCTGTAATCCCAGCACTTTGGGAGGCCGAAGCAGGTGGATCATGAGGTCAGGAGATCGAGACCATCCTGGTCAACATGGTGAAACCGGGGTCTCTACTAAAAATACAAAAAATTAGCTGGACATGGTGGCACGTGCCTGTAATCCCAGCTACTCGGGAGGCTGAGGCAGGAGAATTGCCTGAACCCAGGAAGTGGAGGTTGCGGTGAGCCAAGATCATGCCATTGCACTCCAGCCTGGGTAACAAGAGAAAAACTCCGCCTAAAAAAAAAAAAAGAAAAGAAAAAAAAAAAAAGACCAGTCTGGGCAACATAGCAAAACCCTCACCTCTAAAAAAAATTAAGTAAATACAGTAAAATAAAAAAATTAACAGCAACCTCTAAAAATCAAAAGCAAAATGTGTTGTTGAGTTGGTGGCATAATCTCACAGAAAAAATTTTCAAATGGTTCTTAAACATTGCAATTTTATCATAGATCCTTATTGATATATATCCTAATGAAGAAAAGTACCCACCAAAATCCTAAACTGTTTCCAGTAATTTATTTTCGGTGGTAATATTAGTATTCTGAGATTGATATACTGGGGTTTAAGCAACTAGGTAATTATACTGGTATCAGTAAGAATAAGGACTTGGCTGGGCACGGTGGCTCAAGCCTGTAATCCCAGCACTTTGGGAGGCCGAGGCGGGTGGATCATGAGGTCAAGAGATCGAGACCATCCTGGTCAACATGGTGAAACCCCGTCTCTACTAAAAACACAAAAATTAGCTGGGCATGATGGCGCACGCCTGTAGTCCCAGCTACTCAGGAGGCTGAAGCAGGAGAATTACTTGAACCCAGGAGGCGGAGGTTGCGGTGAGCCGAGATCACTCCATTGCACTACAGCCTGGGTAACAAGAGCAAAACTCCGTCTCAAAAAAAAAAAAAAAAAAAAAGAATAAGGACTTTTGGCAAGAGATACAGGAGATACAGATAAAGTTAGGTAAAAACCCTGTATTCCTGCATCTAAACTGAAAGTATTAGTATGGAGTCATGATCTATTTTAATATTTAAAAAACTTATATTTCCTAGCTCCATCCATTGAAAAACCCTAGAAACAATAACAAATTCAGTATCAGGAAACAATCTTAATATTATATGGTTTTTTACAATAACATTTTTATAATATGTTGTATTTAAACTTTTTTTGTTTTGTTTTGAGATGGAGTTTCCCTCATCACCCAGGATGGAGTACAATGGCACGATCTCAGCTCACTGCAACCTCCACCTCCGAGGTGCAAGAGATTCTCCTGTCTCAGACTCCTGAATAGCTGGTATTACAAGCATGTGCTACCACGCCTGGCTAATTTTTGTGTTTTTAGTAGAGACAGGGTTTCACTATGTTGACCAGGCTGGTCTCAAACTGCTGACCTCAGGTGATCTGCCTGCCTTGGCCTCCCAAAGTGCTGGGATTACAGGCAAGAGCCACCATGCCTAGCTTTGTTTTTGATCTTTTTTTTTTTTTTTTTTTGAGACAGAGCCTTGCTCTGTCACCAGGCTGGAGTGCAGTGGCACAAGCCCGGCTCACTGCAACCTCTGCCTCCTGCATTCAAGCAATGCTCCTGCCTCAGTCTCCCAAGTAGCTGGGACTATAGGCGCATGCCACCATGCCTAGTTAATTTTTTTTTTTTTTTTTTAGTAGAGATGAGGTTTCACCATGTTAGCCAGGATGGTCTCGATCTCTTGACCTCATGATCCACACGCCTCAGCCTCCCAAAGTGCTGGGATTACAGGTGTGAGCCACCATGCCTGGCCTGAACTTCTATACAATTAAGCTTTAAGGTGATTAGGCTGCCCAGAGAATGTATTCATTCACTGTCATTGGGTGTTAAATACTTGAGCTTGCCAGAAACCTGACCACCCAGTAAGTGGAGTAGTATACATAGATAACTCACCAATTTTTCCTTCTCCTCTTGGGCTTCTTCCTTTGTTTCTTTTAATTGCTGTTTCAGTTTTTCAATCTGTTAAAAATCAAAATACAGGGTCAGGAAGGTAGAGAAACTGCTCTATGTCTACCTTTACTAAGTAGACTAATTTCACACAATACAAAAACCAATATGGCAGGAGAGGTGAGTGAGGTGGGAAGAGAAGAGGGGATAAGAAATTCCCCATACCTTCAACCTGCTATTGCCAGTTTCTAAAACCTGGCTATCATCAGAATTACCTGGACAACTTTTTTTTTAATTATGGTAAAAAAAAAAGCAACATTATATTTACCATCTTAACCATTTTAAACATATAGTTCAGTAGTGTTAAGTATATTCACATTGTTGTGCAACAAAGCTTTAGAACTTTTCATTTTACAGAACTGAAACTATGGCCGAGCGATATGGGATTACGCCTGTAATCCCTGCACTTTGGGAGGCCAAGGCAGGTGGATCACGAGGTCAAGAGATCAAGACCAGCCTGACCAACATGGTGAAACCCCAACTCTACTAAAAATTCAAAAATTAGCTGGGCATGGTGATGGGCACCTGTAGTCCCAGCTGCTCGGGAGGCTGAAGCAAGAGAATGGCTTGAACCCAGGAGGCGGAGGTTGCAGTGAGTTGAGATTGTACCACTGCATTCCAGCCTGGACAGAGTGAGACTCCATCTCAAAAAAACAAAACAAAACTGAAACTATACCCAGTAAATCCCAATTTTCCCTTACCTCTCCCCAGCCCTTGGCAATCATCCTCTACTCTCTGATTCTATAATTTTGACTACTTTGGATACTTCTTGAGTGGAGTCATACAGTATTTGCCCTTTGGTGACTGGCTTATTTCATTAAGCATAATGTTCTTGAGGTTCATTCACGTCATAGGACATGACAGGATTTCCTTTAAGGCTGCATAATATTACACCACATGCATATACCTTTTCTTTATCCATTCATCCCATTGATGGATAATTTGGGTTGCTTCCACCGCTTGGCTATTGTGAATAGTGCTGCAATTAACATGGATGTGCAAATATGACTTCAAGATTGTGCTTTGGGCTGGACATGGTGGCTCATGCCTATAATCCCAGCAATTTGGAAGGCTGAGGTGGGTGGACTGCTTGAGCTCAGGAGTTCAAGACCAGCCTGAGCAACATGGCAGAACTCCATCTCTACTGAGAAATAAAAACATTAGCCAAGTGTGGTGGCAAGCACCTATAATCCCAGCTAGAGCCTGGGAGGTGAAGGTTGCAGTGAGCTAAGATCACGCCACTGCACTCCAGCCTGGGTGACAGAGTGAGACCTGTCTCAACAACAAAGATCTTGTTTTGAATTGTTTTGGATATATTCAACATATCCAGAAGTGAGATTGGTAATTCTATTTTTAATTTTTTGAGGAACTTCCATACTGTTTTCCGTAATCACTACAACCGTGTACAGTCCCACCAACAGTGCACAAGCATTCTAATACCTCCACATCCTTCCCAATACTTGTTATTTCCTGTTTTATTGATAGCAGCCATTCTTTTTTATTTATTTATTTATTTTGAGACGGAGTTTCGCTGTTGTTACCCAGACTGGAGTGCAATGGCATGATCTCGGCTCACTGCAACCTCCGCCTTCAAGCAATTCTCCTGCCTCAGCCTCCCGAGTAGCTGGGACTACAGGCGCGCACCACCATGCCCAGCTAATTTTTTGTATTTTTAGTAGAGATGGGGTTTCACCTTGTTGACCAGGATGGTCTCGATCTCTTGACCTCGTGATCCACCCGCCTCGGCCTCCCAAAGTGCTGGGATTACAGGCGTGAGCCACTGCGCCTGGCCTTTAAATAGACTTTTTAAAAAGAATACTGGCCAGGGTTGGGTTTGGCTGATGCTTCTTCATGAGTAGATTCAGGTTGTACGTTTTTGGTAGGCCATACATAGTACCCAAGTGATGATGTATCCTTTTCAGTACATCACATCATTAGGTGATTGATGTTAATTTTAACCAATAGGTTAAGGTTGTGTCTGTCCAGTTTATCCACCTAAAAGTTATTTTTTCTTTTGTGATTATTAAGTAATTTATGGAAAGATCTTTTGAGACTAGGCAATTATCCTCCTCATCAAACTTTCACCCAATAGGTTTTAGCATCTATTGGTGATTCTTGACTGATTCAGTTATTACTATGATGCCAAATGGTGATTTCTCTAACTCCATCACTCCTTGGAAATTTATTAAATGGCATTCTACTGAAGAAAAAAAAAAAAAAGCAAAAAAGGCTGGGCATGGTGGATCATAGACGCCTATAATCCCAGCACTTTGGGAAGCTGAGGCAGGTGGATTACCTGAGGTCAGGAGTTTGAGGCCAGCCTGGCCAGCATGTCGAAACCCCGTCTCTACTAAAAATGCAAAAATTAGCCAGGCATGGTCATGACACATCTGTAGTTTCAGCTACTTAGGAGGCTGAGGCAGGAAAATCCTTTGAACCTGGGGGAGGTTGCAGTGAGCCAAGATTGCACCACTGCACTCTAGCCTGGGTGACAGAGCAAGAGTCCGTCTCAAAAAAAAAAAAAAAGGCTTCCTTTCTATTTATTAATGTATATATTTATTAGTATACACTCATGGATTTTTATTTCATTCAATAGGTTGTAATCTATTACTGTCATTATTTATTAGGTTGGTGCAAAAGCAATGGTAGCTTTTGCCATTCTTTTTTGTTTGGTTTTTTTTTTTTTGAGACAGAGTCTTACCCTGTTCCCCAGGCTGCAATTCAGTGGCACAATCTAGGCTCACTACGGCCTCCACCTCCTGGGTTCAAGCAATTCTCCTGCCTCAGCCTCCTGAATAGCTGGGATTACAGGCATGAACCACCATGCCCAGCTAACATTTGTAATTTTACTAGAGATGGAGTTTTGTCATGTTGGTCAGGCTGGTCTCAAACTCCTCACCTCAGGTAATCCACCTGTCTCGGCCTCCCAAAGTGCTGGAATTACAGGCATGAGCCACCACGCCCAGCCATTCTTGCCATTCTTTATTAGGTTGAAGCACAACCAACCTAATACTTTGATTGTCCCAGATTTGGCCAATAGAAGCCCCTTCAAACAAGGCCATGTCCTTTAAAATTTTTTATTTTCTTGCACAATAACATATTCCAGACTCATCTCTTTTTTTCGTGGGGGGAGAGGATAGAGTTTCACTCTTGTTGCCCAGGCTTGAGTACAATGGTGCAATCTTGGCTCACTGTAACCTCTGCCTCAGCCTCCTGAGTAGCTGGGATTACAGGCACCTGCCACCACACCCAGCTAATTTTGGTATTTTTAGTAAAGACAGGGTTTCACCATGTTGGCCAGGCTGGTCTCAAACTGCTGACCTCAGTAATCCACCTGCTTTACCCTCCCAAAGTGTTGGGATTACAGGGGTGAGCAACCGTGCCCAGCCTTTTTTTTTTTTTTTGAGACAGTCTTGCTCTGTTGCCCAGGCTTGAGTGCAGTGGCACAATCTTGGCTCACTGCAACCTTTGCCTCCTGGGTTCAAGCAATTCTTGTGCCTCAACCTCCCAAGCAGCTGGCACTACAGGCACACTCCACCATGCCCAGCTAATTTTTTGTATTTCTAGTAGAGATGGGGCTTCACCATTTTGACCAGGCTGGTATCAAACTCCTGGCTTTATGTGATGCACTCACCTTGGCCTCTCAAAGTGCTGGGATTATGACTTTTGTTTATTTCTCAAAATGCTGTAAAAAATAAATATATAAATAAAAATAAAAACAAAACAAAAAAAAAGTGATGGGATTACAGTCATGGGCCACCGTGAATAGCCCAGCCTCATCTTTTATATTCCCTGCTGCAGTCCTGAAATCAACCATTTCTCCAAGGAATGCTAGTTTGTTTTAGAAGGGAATCTGAGTAGCTTTTTAAGCTAAAGACTTGTTGACATAGTTGTAGAATCATAGGATACACAAGTAAGATACCATTTACAATGTTTTAGACCACCTTAAGAAAAAATACAGAAATTCTAAAAAATATACTAGGACAATCCTAAATCACATAAAACAGGTGTGACATTTAATGAGATCATTTTGTGATTAATTCAGTATATCATTAAATTCTCTTAAGGAAAATCTGATTTTGTTCACAATAAAATAGTTTTCAAAACACATTTCATTTCTATTATTTCTATAATTAACATGAAATAAGAATATAAACAGTTTAAACAAAGTTTAACATAATAACATTTTTTAGGATATAGCAGAATGAGTAACAAATCTATGGGAAAGCTAGTTAATGAGGAAATATTTAATCTGCTTTGTTTCTGTCTACCAAGGTTGTTTCCTTTGGTTTAATGGCAATCTATGCTTGTAGAAATTACCCATATGTTATTGCCAGATGCTGGCTTTTGGAATAAGGAGGCAGATGAGAATCAGAAAATACAAGTGATACTGATGTAGACCAATAACAATGAGCTATTACAAGCCACAAAGCAAAGCATCTAGTAAATTTTGAAAATTATTTGTATGGCTGTCTTAAAAACTAACTTTGGAATAATACTTTGTAGAAGGCAATTTAATAATACATACTATTAGAATAATAATAGAAGAATAATTTTAAATTAAAAAAATGGCCCAGGTTTGTTGGCTCAATCCCAACACTTTGCAAGGGTGAGGCGGGCAGGTCACTCGAGGCCAGGAGTTCCAGATCAGCCTAGCCAACAACATGGCAAAACCCCATCCCTACTAAAAATACAAAAAATAAATAAAAATAGAAAAAGCTGGACCAGGCGCTATCACTGATGCCTGTAATCTCAGCACTTTGGGAGGCCGAGGTGGGAGAATCACTTGAGCCCTGGAGTTCAAGGCTAGCCTGGGTGACAGGGCAAAATCCCATCTCCACAAAGAATACAAAAATATCAGTCGGGCATGGTGGCTCACGCTTGCAATCCCAGCACTTTGGGAGGTCAGGGTGGGTGGATTGCTTGAATTCAGGTGTTCAACACCAGCCTTGGCAATGTGGTGAAACCCTGTCTCTACCAAAAATACAAAAAATTAGCCAGGCATAGTGGCATGTGCCTGTAGTTCCAACTACTTGGGAGACTGAGGCAGGAGAATCCTCTGAGCCTGGAGGTCGACGCTGTGGTGAACAGTGATCACACCACTGCACTCCAGACCAGGCAATAGAGTGAGACCCTGTCTCAAAAATAATAACAATAATGAGACAGGGTTTGCTCTGATGCCCAGGCTGGACTGCAGTGGCATGACCATGGCTTCAACCTCCTGGGCTTAAGTGATCCTCCCACCTTTAGCCTCCTGAGTAACTGGGACTACAGGTGCACACTGTCATGCCTGGATAATTATTTTTTATTTTGTGTAGAGACTGGGTCTTGCTTTGTTCCCCAGGTTGGTCTTGAACTACTGGGCTAAGTCATCCTCCAGCCTCAACCTCCCAAAGTGTTAGGATTACAGGTATGAGCTACCATACCCAGCCTGAATTTCTACTTTTAACACCCACTGGGAGTGTGACTTTGAGCAAATTACCTTTTCTGAGAGTCAGTTTCTTCATCTGTTATATGGGAATAACAATATTATAGCTACATGGGGTTATTAAAATAATTAAATAGGAGGTTAGTAAAAGAATCAAATAAGAGAGGTAAAGCACCCAGCATAGTACACTGTAGTGGCTCCAAAATGTTAGTTCCCTTCCCTTTGCTTTTCTTTTTGAGATGAGAGTCTGGCTCTGTCGCCCAGGCTGGAATGCAGTGATGTGATCTTGGCTCACTGTAACCTCCACCTCCTGGGTTCAAGCAATTCTCCTGCCTCAGCCTCCAGGGTAGCTGGAACTATAGGTGCAAGCTGCCAGACCCAACTAATTTTTTGCATTTTATTTTATTTATTTATTTATTTATTTTTTTAAGATGGGGTTTCACCATGATGGCCAGGCTGGTCTTGAACTCCTGACCTCAGGTGATCCACCCACCTTGGCTTCCCAAAGTGCTAGGATTACAGGCGTGAGCCACCACGCCCGACCAATTTTTTGTATTTTAGTAGAGATGGGGTTTCACTGTGTTGCCCAGGCTGATCATGAACTCCTAAGTCAGGCAATCCGCCCACCTCAGCCTCCCAAAGTGCTAGCATTACAGGCGTGAGCCACCACACCCAGCCTCCCTTTTTCTTCCAAATATAAAATGATAGCTTTACTCTCAACACTTTAATAAGGTCCAATAAGACACAAGATTCAACTGGCCAAAAAAAAAAAGTTTCAACTTGCTGGGTTCAGAATGTTATCATGGATTATTGGTGAACTGCTTTATAGATTTTTAAAACTAAAAATCAGCATAAAAAATATATAGACCACATACCATGCTCCTGTCCTTAAAATAAAGTAGATCATAATATTCCCTTATGATCATCAATCTCATTTGCTTTAGATAAGAAAACATGGAACAAGGATTGAAAATAAGAAAGACTGAAAAAAATAACAGTAAAACCATTCTGAAAAAGTGTTTTGCTTCAGGGAGAGTTAAGGTCAATCAAAATGTCTTAACTATATGGCAATATTTCAAGGAATTTCAAGGAATTAAAAATATTTGATATATATAACCACATCAGTATCACCATAGAGGTAGTTAATGAGGCTGAGGAGGCTTTCTACCTACCTACCATATTATCTTTCTCCTGATCCTGCTTCTTCAGGTAACTTAATACAGACATTGTGTCTTTCTCCATTTTATACTGCTGTTTCTTTAAGTCCTCATTATTTTTTGCCAGTATCCGTGAAGTATCACGATACTCAATCCTAGAGAGTTCTGTGACTTCCAACCTGGCCTCCCAAAGAGAGGCATTGGCCTTGGCTCTGTCCACTATAGATTCATCTGTTTTTATTAACTTCCTGCATGGGAAGAGGACATTGACAGTATATGACTATTTATACAACTCTAATATACAGACAGTATATAATTCCATTAATATTACAGTTTTCTTTTCTTAAATTTGTTTTGCTTGGCATTGCCTGGCACACATGAACAAACATTGTTGGATGAATGAGTTAATAAGAAATACACATTCAAATTTAAAAAAAGGAATAAATATTCAATTGTATTCACATAAGAGAATTAAGTAAGTGTCTCTTCCTGGAAGAGGGGAGCCCTGGAGCAAAACTAAAAAGACTGGAAAAACAAAGGGAAAAGACAGGATAAGCCAAACTCGTTTCATAAAGCTTTCATCTTTTTTTTTTTTCTCCTGAGACAGGGCCTGGCTCTGTCACCAGGCTGGAGTGCAGTAGCATGATCTCGGCTCCCCACAACCTCTGCCTCCTGGGCTCAAGCCATCCTCCCACCTCAGCCTCTTAAGTGGCTGGGACTACAGGCTCATGCCACTATGCCCAGCTACTTTTTGTATTTTTTGTTGAAATGGGTTTTCGCCATGTTGCCCAGGTTGGTCTTGAACTCCTGGGCTCAAGTGATCCTCCCACCTCAGCCTCCCAGAGTGCTGAGATTACAGGTATGAGCCATTGTGCCTGGCCAGCTTTTGTATCTTTTCATTTACTTCTTTGATTCTCCCATATTTATTTTATTTAATAGAGATGGAGTCTTGCTATGTTGACTATGCTGGTTTCCAACTCCTGGGCTCAAGGATCTGTCCACCTCTGCCTCTCAATGTGCTGGGATTACAGGTGTGAGCCAGTGCCCTGGCCTGATTGTCCTATGGTTAAACTATCTTTTCTATTCCTACTAATTCAGTGCTGGACTTTGGTTCTCTCCACTGCAAACCCATTATCTCTGTTCATTTTATGCATGAGGATACCCATTGGTAGCGTAACTGTGATCTCCCACCCACTGACCCTCCACTTTTGAGTTTTTTTGGTTTTTGTTTTGTTTTTGGCTAGGTCTTAGACAAAAAGTCTTGTCACTAGGACAAGTATGCTAAATACTTTATCAGCTAGTGCCACAGTTCACCAGACGTTTTTCAAGGTCTTGCTCTGTCATCCAGGCGGTAATGCAGTAGCACCACCACAGCTCACTGCAGTCTCGACCTCCTAGTCCCAAGCGATCCTCCACCTCAGCCTCCTGAGTAACTGTAATTACAGGCATGAGCTAGCACGCCCAACTAATTTTATTTTTTGAGACAAAGTATCACTCTGTTGCCCGGCTCCCAATTTCAAGCAATTCTCTTACCTCAGCCTTCCGAGTAGCTGGGACCACAGGCACACACCACAATGCCCAGCTAATTTTTGTATTTTTAGTAGAGATGGGGTTTCACCATGTTGGCCAGGATGGTCTCGATCTCTTGACCTCGTGATCTGCCCGCCTCGGCCTCCCAAAGTGCTGGGATTACAGACATGAACTACAAAGCCTGGCCTCCAACTAATTTTTAATAAAAACTTTTTAGGGACAGGGTCTTCCTATTCTGTCCAGGCTGGTCTTGAAGTCATGGGCTCAAGTGATCTTCCCCCATTCAGCCTCCCAAAGTGCTGGGCAAGAGCCACAATGCCTGGAACACTGGGCTTTAAGGGTGCCTGAGAAACCGTAATTATTTATACAGAGGTGGAGAGGAAAAAGGATGGATTCAAAGACTAAAGTGCTAAAGGAAGAGATTTTTCAAAATATTTATTGTATGAGCATTAACAAAACACTACCCCTTATATATATGGTAGGTACTAGTCTATGGCAATACCACCCTGAAGGCGCCCAATATGATATGTAAATATGTACATATTTAAGAATATTTCAGCTATTTTTGAATTCTAAATATTTTCACACATATATCTATGTGGACCCTTCTATACTGTCACCTCCACATCTACTTTCCTACTTCTGGTTTTCAGTCCTCTTCCACAGAGGTAATGGATTTGTAGTGGAGAGAACCAAAGTCCCACTTTCACCTTTTGTTCTCTTCAAATTAAGGCTAGCTCCATTCCCAACCCCTCAGCCTGTTACAGCTGTTGATGTCCCTATATGGCATGATTTAGGCACTAGTGATACACTGTCTCACTACAACCATCCCAGTATCAGATCTAAATGGCTCAAAGTACTTGAAGCAACTGAGCATGGTGGCTCATGCCTATAATCCCAGCACTTTGGGAGGTCGAGGTAGGTGAATCACCTGAGATCAGGAATTAGAGTCCAGCCTGCCAACATGGTGAAATCCCATCTCTACTAAAAATACAAAAATTAGCCCGGCATGGTGGTGGGCGCCTGTAGTCCCAGCTACTTGGGAGGCTGAGACAGGAGAATCACTTGAACCTGGGAAGCGGAGGTTGCAGTGAGCCAAGATAGCATCATTGCACTTTAGCCTGGGCAACAAGAGTGGAACTTGGTCTCACAAAAACAAAACAAAACAAAAAGAAGAAATTAGACACTCTAAGAGGACCACTGATACTAACTGTAGAAATAAAGCCAGGTTTCTCAAACAATGGGTCATAGGAAATCTAAGGAATAAGGTCTCTTACCCTCAGTGCTCCTCATTGTTCAAATGTGTACTGTAGAAGCATGGACAAAATCTGAAAACATATGTTAGTGAGTTCAAGGAATGTGATAAACCCTTGGCACTTTAAGTGCTAGACTGCGCAGTTATGTAAAAACAAAAAATATATATATCATAAAAGAATACTTACATTAATACATGGGAAGAAAAAACTTACATATAACTATGTACATTGGGCTATCATTTTATTTTTTTCTTTTTCTTTTTTTCATTTTTTTCTTTTGTTTTGTTTTATTTTTATTTGTTTATTTTTGAGACAGAGTCTTGCTGTGTCTGTCGCCAGGCTGGAGTGCAGTAGCACGATCTCGTCTCACTGCAACCTCTGCGTCCCCGGTTCAAGTAATTCTTCTGCCTCAGCCTTCCTGAGTAGCTGGGACTACAGGCATGTGCCACCACGCCCAGCTAATTTTTCTATTTTAGTAGAGATAGGGTTTCATCATGTTGGCCAGGATGGTCTCGATCTCTTGACCGATCCGCCCACCTCGGCCTCCCAAAGTGCTGGGATTACAGGCATGAGCCACCACACCCGGCTGGGCTATCGTTTTATTAATAAATAAAAGAATTGCCCAAAATATAGTAGTGTTTATCTTCGGATGATGAGACTACAGGTGATTTTTGCTTTCTCTTTTGGTACTTCCCATGTTTCCCAAACTTTCTGTATTGAGTATTGTTGAGAAATGATGAGTGTATGATTGCTGAGAAGTGCTGAGTGTATGATAAAATATACTGTTTGCTAAGAACAGTGGCAAGGAAAACCTAACTGCCCGCCCACCCTCTCACCAAGTGGAAAACTACTTGGGGCATTCTAAAGTAGCAAATTACAGTACAGGTATATCATACACCAGTTAAAACAATTCCTTAAGCATGGGATACATGACCCTGCCTCCGTGGCTCCCTCGTGGAGATCTGTGGTAAGCAGGCACCAGCTGTCTACCTAGTTTATCTTGGTTATATGAGAAAACACAGGACACCTGTTTGTTAACAGTATCAGTGGTAAGCAGGCACCAGCTGTCTACCTAGTTTATCTTGGTTATATGAGAAAATACAGGACACCTGTTGTTTAACAGTATCAGTGGTAAGCAGGCACCAGCTGTCTACCTAGTTTATCTTGGTTCTATGAGAAAACACTGGACACCTGTTTTTAATAATAATTACCTGTTCAGAGAGAATAAATACGTGGGTCAAAATCTGTTCGAGGCCCTCAGTCCGGAATGCTGTCAACCCCATGAGGCGCTCAGCTTGGAGGGCTGTCGGCCCCCTATGGACTCGCTTTGCTATTCTATCTGGGCGTCTGCTTCTTAATGCCTTCAGCGCCGCCTAGGTGGGCTTCTCTACGCTGAGCTGGTCTCGGTAGAGTATGAATTACTCTCTTAAGTTACTTTACAAACATCTCCAGTTTGGTGTCCTGTGTTCCTATATATGGCGTTGTTGGACACCACATGTGACTCCAATGTGTCCGGAAACCACTTGGGTCCCCCAGTAGGGCTAGTAGCAATCTAGCAGCCACTCCAGGACTGGATAGTGATAGAACATTACCCACCTCAGTGGCTCTGATCAGTTTGGGAAAACCTCAACAATTGCTCAGCTTGGTAAAATACTTTAGGTGTCCCCTTTAAACCAAAAGGGATCTCTGAAAAGGCCCAAGGAACTACTTTAACAACCTATACATCCTCTAGATATTTAAGATCAGCTGAGCCGCATAGAAGGGATCTGTCAGACTATGGGCATGGGACCTGTAATCCTCACAAGCCAGGAGTGCCAGAGAGGGAGCAGGGTGCGCCAGGTAGCCAGCTCCCAGACCCGAAATCTGAGGCAGGCCCAGGGAGAGAGGACCCTCGGGCGGCTTCTCCTTACTTCATGTCTTTGCCTTTGCTCTTGCCTTTCTTTTTGTCCTTTTTCTTCGACGGCATCTTGGCTTCCCCAGGGGCTACGCTGTAGCCGTTGCCCCGCCGCGGCCGCCCGGCCCGGCTCTGTCTCCAAGGAAACCGGGATGCTGAGCAGGTAACGTTCCCCCCACCCCCCGCGCCGGTGACAGCGCACGGAGGGCGCACGCGCCCGTGACGTAGCCCAGGCGCCGCCGCGCGGAGGGCGGGCCGGAGGTCGCGCCGAGGGCAGCGGGTCGCTGCGCCAGGGCAGCGCGCGCGCGCGGTGAGTGTATCACAGTGAGCTGCGCCTGAGCCTCTACCTGGGGCTCGAGCTAGGCCAGCGGCCCGGCGGGCGGGAGGTGGGAGCCGGCAGCCTCGGGCGGTAGTGCCACGTCTTGGGGCCCGGGTGTTGGGCGTCGCCACGGTCGGGTTCCCTTGCCTCAGGAGGCTTAAATCCTCGCGTGTCCGCCCGTCCCGCCGCGGTGGGCTGAGCTGTGACCCCTAGCGGTTTTGCAGCGTTTCCCGTGCCTGCACGCCGCAGCCAGCGTGGCCGGGGCTGCTTTGCCCTCGCCCCTGCCCTGCCTCCGCCGCTCCCGGCACTACTCGACTCCTTGGCGTTCCATCTTATTCCTGGCTTCTCACCCTTGCTGATTCTGTAAGGGATGGCGCAACCGGCGGACGTCCCAGGCCAAACGTTTTTTGATAGGTAGTTGAGGACTTTCCCAAGGGCGGTGGTTGGGGGCGAGGCTGCCAGCCTCCCAAGGGCAGCAGCACGCCAGGGAGCCGGGCGATGTGGGGAGTGCTGCCACCGTGGTCAGGAGCAGGGTCCTCAGCCCCACTCGGTCCTGTGGCCGACACTGCCCACCCACGACCCCCGTCCCCCCTGGATTCCCATTTGCTTAAACCTTACCCGCCCACAGCCTTCTTTCCTGAAAGTTACATAAAGTTAAAAGCGCTTCAGCTTGCCTCTCCCAAATCCCGAATACACCTCTGAAAAAGAGTGTACTCGCAAGTATTCTCATTTTTCAGTGAGAGGCAGGCAGTGAGTCACTAAGGAAGATAATCGTATTCCGAGTGCCAAGCCAATAGTTAGGAGACTTGTGGTTGAAGCTCTGCTGTGTTAAACTCCGTTTCAAATTAAAAAGTTTATTTTAAACATCGTCGTAGATCCTTCCTCTCCATTTCTCTGGGGAGGACTTAATCCGTATACCACTTCCCCTTATTTCCCACTTAAATAGTTTCTATTTCTGAATTCTGTGATTAGCGGGAACATGCCAGTTTGGTAATGATAAGCCCTGTAAACATTTTTCTTTTTTCTTTTTTTTTTTTGTTGAGATAGAGTCTCCTCCTGTGGCCCAGGCTGGAGTGCAGTCGGGCAGTCTCCGGCTCCCTGCAACCTCTATCTCTTGGATTCAAGTGATTCGCCTGTCTCCCAAGTAGCCTCCCAAGTAGCTGGAACTATAGGTGTGTGTGTCACCACGCCTGGCTAATTTTTGTATTTTTGGTAGAGATGGGGTTTCACCATGCTGGCCAGGCTGGTCTCAAACTCCTGGCCTCAGGTAATCGCCCATCTTGGCCTCCCAAAGTGTTGTGGCCCACCACCCACCGTAAACCTTTTTATACATACCATCTGCCAGCATTATCTTGGCTTTTTCTTTTCTTTTCTTTTTTTTTTTTTTTTTTTTTTTTTTTTTTTTTTTTTTTTTTTTTGAGATGGAGTTTCACTCTTGTTGCCCAGGCTGGAGTGCAGTGGCATGATCTCAGCTCACTGCAACCTCCACCTCCTGGGTTCAAGCGATTCTCCTGCCTCAGCCTTCCAAGTAGGTGGGATTACATACAGTCACCACCATGCCCAGCTAATTTTATATTTTTAGTAGAGACAGGGTTTCTCCATGTTGGTCAGGCTGGTGGTCTCAAACTTCTGACTTAAGGTGATCTTCCCACCTCAGCCTCCCAAAGTGATTACAGGCATGAGCCACTGCACCTGGCCGATCATGGCTTTTTCTGACTGTATTTCTGGTACATTTTCACACTCCCATGGTCCATAGATGGAATCACTATTGAAAAGGTTATCTCTGATACAGAATCTATAAAGTTACCATTAATTTTGTATGTTTAAGGTTCTGAAAAAGCACACTGTTGATAAGCTGCAGAAAAGAGAGTAGGACATCTTCTGTCACATTCCGTATATTTGAAATTTATTCTAGAAATTGGTAACTTTGTAATATGAAAGTCAATGCAAGACTCTTCATTTGAACATTTACAGATTGATTTATAAACATAAAAATTTGACCACAAGATTATTAACATATGTATAGTACCTTAGATATGGTACTTTGTAGTTTCTTGTATTGGTCTGGTGGGTTTTTTGGTGGTTTAAGACAGGGTCTTACTCTTGCCCATGCTGAGTACAGTGGCAGGATCATGGCTCACTACAACTGCAACCTCCTACGCCCAAGCGATGCTCCCACCTCAGCCTCTGGGGTAGTTGAGACTATAGGTATGGACCACCATGCCTGGCTAATTTTGTATTTTTTGTAGAGACAGGGTTTTGCCATGTTGCCCAGGCTGGTCTGGAACTCTTGAGCTCAAGTGATCCTCCTGCCTTGGCCTCCCAAAGTGCCAGGATTATAGGCATGAGCCACCAAACCTGGCCTGGTTTATTTTATTGTATTATATGTTTTTTAATGACAAAGTTTGATTTTGTAGATAAAGCTGTAGTGACATGAATATGGCTCAGAGAAATGCCAAGATTTCATAGTCTGGTAGAGGTGGATCTAGAGTCTACAGTCTTCTGAATCTCCTATTTTCTACCAAAGAACTGGATGTTGTCATCTATTGGTGAGCAACAACTGATAGTACAGATAGTAGAGTAGGAAGTTGCTATTTAGCAATTCATCTGGTTTTCCACAATTACTGGTAGGTGCCTTTATTATGAAATTTCAGGAATTATTTTACTAAATACATTTGCGTTGTTTCATTGTTTAGAACACTAATGCTTTTAAATTTGGAATAAGCCACTTCATGTTTTGTTGATTTGGTTTTATAATTCTTTTTCTGTCCAGTTTTCCTTGTTCCTGGTCAACAAAGAAATGTGGAATATCTCAGCTGAATCCTCATACAGACAAGATCATTATGGTGCTGTTAGGTAGGGCTTGTATCCAGATGTAAGGTAACATCTCCACTAGCTTAAAGTTGTAAATGTATTTCAAATGCTCTTAAATGGTGGTTTTCTTTTTTTCCTAAATTTGATTCTCCATTTTTTTTTGCCAAGTGATACTCATTTTGTTCAACAAGCCATATATAAAATTTAGAACTATTATGTATCAAAATAGATAGAACTTCTGGCTGGGCATGGTGGTTCATATCTACAATCCTAACACTTTGGGAGGCCAAGGTGGTGGATTGCTTAAGCCCAAGAGTTCAAGACCAGCCTGGACAATGTGGCAAAACTCTGTCTCTACAAAAAATACAAAACTTAGCCGTGCGTGATGGCATGTACCTGTAGTTCCAGCTACTCAGGAGGCTGAGTTTAGAACCCAGGGAGGTCAAGGCTGCAGTGAGCCGTGATTTTGTCACTGCACTCCAGCCTGAACAACAGTGTGACTCTTAAGAAAAAAAAAGAGGGGGGGTAGTACTTCTACTTTTTTCAAGTAGCTCCAAAACTGGGATTACTTTATAAACTCATCTGTAACTTTATTCTTATTTACCTTAGATGCCATATTTCTCTTCATAAATCACTCTTGAAATCACTTAATAGCAGGTGCTACTTTATAGGTGCAACAGACTAAGGGAACAGGTTTAGATTTTGTTTTTATATAGCCTTTAGAATCCTGAATAAATACATTATTATCCAAACTGCATCGGAAGGGAATAATCTGTTTCTAATGAGAGTTACTTTCTCTCCTTTTTTTTTTTTTTTTGAGACATAGTCTTGCTCTGTCGCCCAGGCTAGAGTGCAGTGGCACAGTCTCATCTCACTGCAGCCTCTGCCTTGTGGGTTCAAGCGATTCTCCTGCCTCAGCCTCCCAAGTAGCTGCAATCACCGGTGCCTGCCACCATGCCCGGCTAATTGTTATATTTTAGTAGAGACAGGGTTTCACCATCTTGGCCAGGCTGGTCTTGAACTCCTTACCTCAGGTGATTTGCCCACCTTGGCTTCCCAAAGTGCTGGGATTACAGTGTGAGCCATTGCATCTGGTCAGGAGTTACTTTCATCCTGCTTTTTTATTGCATGTGCTACAAATACAGAATTCTACTAAATTGACATTTTCTTGTGACAGTAAGACTAGTTCACATCTCTGCAGGAGCATTATAAGAAATCCTGGCTGTCAAGGATTTAATCTTATCAGTTTTAGATAAATTTTTTAAAAATTTAGGCAGGGCGCAGTGGCTCATGCGTATAATTATAGCACTTTAGGAGGTCGAGGTGATTGGATCACAAGGTCAAGAGTTTAAGACTAGCCTGACCAATATGGTGAAACCCCATCTCTACTGAAAATAGAAAAATTAGCTGGATATGGTGGCACCCGCCTGTTGTCCCAGCTACTTGGGCAGCTGAAGCAGGAGGATCGCTTGAACCCAGGAGGCAGAGGTTGCAGTGGGCCAATATCGTGTCACTGCACTCCAGCCTAGGTGACAGAGCAAGACTCCATTTCAAAAAAAAAAAAATTAAATTCACTGCCGGGCGTAGTGGCTCGCGCCTGTAATCCAAGCACTTTGGAGGCCAAGGCGGGTGGATCACCTGAGATTGGGAGTTCAAGACCAGCCTGACCAACATCGTGAAACCCCCATCTTAAAAAAAAAAAACAAAAACAAATTTACTATTTTACTTATATATAAGATCTATTTCCACAGATAATTATTTATTGATTTAATGTATTTGTTAATGAATGACAGGGTCTCACTATGTCATCCAGGCTGGAGTGCAGTGGTGCAATCATGACTCACTACAGCTTCAACCTTCTGGCAGTCCTCCCACCTCAATCTCCTGAGTAGCTAGGACCACAGGCTCAAGCCACCAGGCCCAGTTAACTTGTGTGTGTGTATGTGTGAAAACTGGGTCTTAGTATGTTGTTCCTAGGCTCAGATGGTTCTCCTACCTCAGCCTCCCAAAGTGCTGGGATTATAGTTGTGAGTCACCACACTTGGCCATATGTTTTTGAGATGGGGTTTTGTTAGGTTGCCAGGCTGAACTTAAACTTCTGAGCTCCTCCTACCTCAGCTTCCCAAGTAGCTGGGACTACAGGCATGTACCACTATGCCTACAAATAATTATTAACTATTGGTACTTTATTTGCAAAATATCCCTTTTTTTTTTTTTGAGACGGAGTTTTCACTCATTACCCAGGCTGGAGTGCAATGGCGCGATCTTGGCTCACCGCAACCTCTGCCTCCTGGGTTCAGGCAATTCTCCTGCCTCAGCTGAGGATTACAGGCATGCACCACTATGCCCAGCTAATTTTTTGTATTTTTAGTAGAGACGGGGTTTCACCATGTTGACCTGCATGGTCTCGATCTCTTGACCTCGTGATCCACCCGCCTCGGCCTCCCAGAGTGCTGGGATTACAGGCGTGAGCCACTGCGCCAGCCTAAAATATCCCATTTTTATTAGTTGTCCATCCTAACGGAGCCACAGACTAAAAGTTCTCTAAGAAAACTTACCTGGGCTGGGCACAGTGACACATATCTGTAATCCTAGCACTGGGAGGCTGAGGCAGGAGGATTGTGTGAGCCCAGGATTTTGAGACCAGCCTTGACCACATAGCAACATAACAAGACCCTATCTTTATTTTCTTTAATAAAAAAAAGCAAAAATTACCCATATTTTGGCCCACTTGTCTGCATTTGCATGTGATGAATCTGTCAAACGTTCATTCATTTAAGAAAGATTTAATGAATACCAAATGTATAAATGTATACCAGCCTGTCTGATAACTTGATGGGAACAGTAAGGAACAAGAGAAGGCCCTTGCCCTCAAGTTGTTTACAGTCAGATGTATAAAGCTCTGACCTGGATGTTGATCTCTGAGAATATACAACCTCATTGTCACCCATACACAAACAAACACTAAACAGTACCAAGCAGCGATTGATAAAGAAGGGATGGTGTAAACCAAAGGTGTCCAATCTTTTGGCTTCCTTGGGCTACACTGGAAGAAGAATTGTCTTGTCTCACAGATAAAATATATTAACACTAATAATAGCTGAGGAGATAAAAAATACAATAACAAAAAAGATTTCAAAATGTTTTAAGAAACAAATTTATGTTGGGCTACATTCAAAGCCGTCCTGGGCTGCATGCGGCCCGTGGGCTGTGGGTTGACCAAGCATGGCCTAGACCCTAAGTGGTATAGAATTTGTAGGCATTTAAGACTGTTGTAGTCAGGGAAAGTTTATAGAAGGAGATGGACCGAAAGGAGAGGGAAATTTCTCCAGGAAGTTAGAACAATGTGAGTACAATTCAGAGTATCCCTAAAATAGGGAGTAGTTTAACTTGAGCATTGGTTCCTAAAGTGTGGTCCGCAGACCACTAGTAGCATCAGCATCACCTAGTAACTTATTAGAACTGCAGTTTCACAGGCCCCACGCAATGAGGCCCAGCGATCTATGTTTTAACACGCCCTCTAGGTGGTTCTGATGCATGCTAAAGTTTCAGAACCACTAAACTAGAGCAGAGGATTGTTGTATGGAATGAGTAGACAAAAAACTCTAAAAAGGTAGGCTGAGAACTCATTGTGAAGGACTTAGAATGTCAGGCAGGGAGTTTGTCTTTTATCCTGCAGACTAGAGCCACCAACTTGTGACTTGGCTCTAGTTGGCTCATAGAATGTGACTTGGCTGGATTTGGCTCATAGAATGTGTTTTGTTTGGCCCGAATGGTGGGTTTTTGGGGGGTTCTAAGTGAAATTGGTTGTTGTCATTTAAAAATCAGCAGATGTGGCCAGGCATGGTGGCTTCTGACTGTAATCCAAGCACTTTGGAGGCCAAGGTGGGCGGATCACCTCAGGTCCGGAGTTCAAGACCGGCCTGACCAACAAGGTGAAACCGCATCTTTTTTTTTAAAAAAAAAAGAAAAAGCAGATTTTACAGAGAAATCTGTGCTTTCAGCTTACCTTGAAAAATCAAAGACCTGGCAGTATGGGGGTCTACATTTCATTATGGTAGCAATTGGTGGAAACAGCAAGAAGCTGCCCCTTTAGATGGGACATACGCTTTCAGGTTTACATAATCCCCACCAGTTCCTTTTATCTTACACACATCTTTACTTGTTTACATTTCCTGCCTAGTCCCTGTGGGTATTTGAGTTTGTAACTTCTGTTGTGGACAGTGGGACATGAATGAAATTTTTGAGGAGAGTGATGAGATGTATGTATTTAATTTATTTAACATTAATTAAAAAGATATGCCAGATTGTACTCTGCTAAGTAATCAGTTTTCAAAGATGAATGAGTCCCAGCTGGGCTTGGTGGCTCACGCCTGTAATCCCAGCACTTTGGGAGGTCAAGTCTGATCACTTGAGGTCAGGAGTTCGAGACGAGCCTGGCCAACATGATGAAACACCCTCTCTACTAAAAATAAATTAGCCGGGCAGGGTGGTGAGCACCTGTAATCTCAGCTAATCTGGAGGCTGAGGCAGGAGAATCACTTGAACCAAGGAGGTAGAGTTTGCAGTGAGCCAAGTTCATGCCATTGTACTCTAGCTTGAGCAGCAGAGCGAGACTCCATCTCAAAAAAAAAAAAAAGCTTACTTTGGAGGCCCTATAGTTAAAATTTATAATATTGGTTGCATGAGTCAAATCCATAATTCAAATCCTGTCTTGACTGTATAATCTTTAGATTTGTGTTGTGTAGGCAAGTTTAACTTTTTTGTTCCTGAGGGGTTAGAAAATAACATATAAACTCAAATATTTCAAGTAATTCTTTGACCTCAGCCTCCCAAAGTGCTGAGAGGTAAGCGTAAGCCACCAAGCCCTCCACCTCTTGGTACCTTTTAACCACATACTCATGCATGTAAGTAGCCACTCATTGATCATACTGCAGAACATATGGCTGGCATTTTAATGGCAAAAAAAAAAAAAAAGCATAAACTAGATTTTATGTACTTTTTTTTTTTTTTTTTTGAGATAGGGTCTCACTTCGTCACCAGGCTGGAGTGCAGCAGCTCGATCTCAGCTCACTGCAGCCTTGACCTCCCAGATTCAAGCAGTCTTCCTGCCTTAGCCTCCCAAGTAGCTGGGACTACAGGCACATGCCACCATACCTGGCTAATTTTTGTATATCTTATAGAGATGGAGTTTCACCATGTTGCCTAGTTTGGTCTCGAACTCTTGAGCTCAAGCTATCCACCTGCCTTGACCTCCCAACCTCCCAAAGTGCTAGGATTACAGGTGTGAGTTGTTGTGCCCAGTCTATGTACTTCACTTAACGAATTAGCTCCTTAGTCATTGCTTTCTCCACCTTTACACACACATATACACCAGCTTCTACAGGGAGTATGACTTGCTTCTTTTGCTTTTAGTGACTTTTTAATAAGCTGGATGTGTGGTAAGAGTGGCTGAGGTTGTAGTTTGAGAAGAAAATGTAGGAGAGGAAAAACAGCTGAAGATCATTAGACTACAAATCAGGACATGAGCTTGGTGATGTGGGTTCCAGAACCTGAACAGATTGGAAATGAAAATGTAGAAAGAGATAACTGAGTCAAAAATAGGCATATTGACAGCAGATAAAAAAAAAAAAAGAAAACTGGGCCAGGTGTGGTGGCTCACACCTGTAATCTTAGCACTTTGGGAGGCCGAGGTGGGTGGATCACGAGTCAGGAGATTGAGACCATCCTGGCCAACATGGTGAAACACCATCTCTTTAAAAAAAAAAAAAAAGAAAAGAAAAGAAACTGTTCTTATAATTATCCATGTACATCTTACACAGGTTGAAAAAGTGATATAATAGTTGAAGGAACAAAGGAGAAAACTCAGAAGGAAAGAAAAAATTGGTAAGTAACCTATATAAAGAATACTTCACTTTTTCATAGGTCAGATTTCTGCAAATTCTGCTTTGTTGTTCCTAGCCGAGAGCTCACAGTAGATGGAAAAGGGTCTGTAAGGCACTGAAAGACCTGTCACAAAGTCCAGTACCCTTATTCCATTGGAGAGGCCCTCATTTGCTTATATTGACATGAAATTCTAATAATTATGGCTCCCTGATTTACATCCTACAACAGATTTTAAAAGAAAATTAGGAGGTAATGGTGGTTTATGGAGTTGGGCACATGGCAACACCAATCCATGATAATAGCACGATGTCAGAGGAAGCTAGCTCGAAAAGCATAGCAGTCTGGGACCATTTAGAGACAGAAGGGCAAACAGTCCTGTAGCCCCCGGAAGCATCTCAGGTTTACAGGAAAATATAACTGATAATCATAATCATGACCCTGATTTTGTGTGTGTGTGTGTGTGTGTGTGTGTGTATAAATAAACTATAATTGCCCTATAGAAAATGATATAATTCACATTGGAAACAGCAGTACTTACATACTGCTATCAGTATGCCAATTTTTGACTCAGTTATCTCTTTCTACATTTTCATTTCTAATCTGTTCAGGCTTTGGAAGCTAGATCACCAAGTTCATCTCCTGACTTGTAGTCTGATACCCTTAAGCTCTTTTACCTCTCCTATACTTTCTTCTCTTTCAAACTACAACCTCAGCCACTCTTACCACACATCCAGCTCATTTTAAAATAGTGTTTGGTAACACTGTTAAAGTGTTAAAGTGGAGCCAGGTGCAGTGGCTCATGCTTGTAATCCCTTGAGAGTTTTGGGACTTGGGAGGCTGAGGCTGGAGGGTCACTTGAGGCCAGGAGTTTGAGACCAGCCTGGGCAACATAGCAAGACTCCTTCCTCTATAAAAAATTTTAAGGATGGATCCAGGATGGCTGATCACTAACATCCCGGGATTGCAGCTCTCAGGGAAGGCGCAGAGAACGAGAGGACGCCACACTTTCAGACAAATTCTGGTCGCTCACGGAGCAGAAGATCCCCCAGTGGAGGAAACACACAGGTGGCCAGCAAGACTCTCGTGGCCGGCGCAGCGGTTCCGCCGGCACCTCAGCGCGCAGCTCTCAGAGCAGAGTAAACAGGTTCGGAGGACCCACAAGGGCCCCCAGCACAACACCAGAGCCCGGCAGTGGCTGTGACAGCACCTCTGCGCGGCAGCGCTCGGGGCAGAGTAAACGGGACTGGTTCCCCTTCTGACCGAGGTTTGGAGCCCCGGGAAGGCAGAGTCGCCTACTACGGACACAAGAAGGAAGCCAGACAGGAGAATCCTGGGCAGAAAAGCACCATCAGTTTTAACGCTGCTGCTCTGGCCCTGGGAACTAACAACCTGGGCGCCCACTCAAGAGACCTAATCTGAAAGGTGGTAAATTCAAAGATGGCAGGAGGATAAATTTACAATGATGGGAAGAAACCAGCGTAAAAAAGCTGAGAATACTCAAAGTCAGAACGCCTCTCCCTCTAAAGGTGATCAGTTCCTCATCAACAATGGAACAAGGCTTGATGGAGAATGAGCGCATCCTGATGACAGAATCACTCCTCAAGGAATGGATAATAACAAACTTCGGTGAGTTAAAAGAACACGTTGTAGCCCAATGTAAAGAAACTAGGAACTTTGAAAAAAGGTTTGATGAAATCCTATTGAGAATAGACAACTTAGAGAGGAGTATGAGTGAATTAATGGAACTGAAGAATACAATACAGGAACTCTGAGAAGTATGCACAGGTTTAAACACTCGAATTGTTCAAGCGGAAGAAAGGATATCAGAGGTCAAAGTCCAACTTAATGAAATAAAACACGAAGAAAAGATTAGAGAAAAAAGGATAAAAAGGAATGAGCAAAGTCTCCAAGAAATGTGGGACTATGTGAAAAGACCAAATTTACGTTTGATAGGTGTACCTGAATGCGACGGAGAGAATGAATCCAAGCTGGAAAATACCCTTCAGGATATTATTCAGGAAAATTTTCCTAAACTAGCAAAGCAGGTCAACATTCAACCCCAGGTAATACAGAGAACACCACAAAGATATTCCTCAAGAAGAGCAACCCCAAGGCACATAATCGTTAGATTCACCAGGATTGAAACGAAGGAGAAAATACTAAGGGCAGCCAGAGAGAAAGGTCATGTTACCCACAAAGGCAAGCCTATCAGACTTACAGCAGATCTCTCAGCAGAAACTCTACAAGCCAGAAGAGGGTGGGGGCAAATATTCAACATCCTCAAAGAACAGAACCTTCAGCCCAGAATTTCATATCCAGCCAAACTAAGCTTCACAACTGAAGGAAAAATAAAATCTTTTATGAACAAGCAAGTACTCAGAGATTTTATTACCACCAGGCCTGCTTTACAAGAGCTTCTGAAAGAAGCATTACACACAGAAAGAAACAACCAGTATTAGCCTTTCTAAAAATACACCAAAAAGTAAAGAGCACCAACATAAAGAAGAATTTACACCAACGAATGGATAAAACAGCCAGTCAACATCAAATGGCAGTAACCCTAAATTTAAATAGACTAAATCCCCCAATCAAAAGACACAGCCAAAACCCAACGGCAGGTTATATCCAGACCTGTTTCACATGCAAGGATACACAAAGACTCAAAACAAAGGGATGGAGAAAGATTTACCAATCAAATGGAGAGCAAAAATAAATAAATAAATAAAAAGCAGGAGTTGCAATTCTCGTATCGGATAAAATAGATTTTAAAGCAACAAAGATATAGTGGTAAAAGGATCATGCAACAACAAGAACTAACGATCCTAACACCCAGATACATAGAGACTTAGATTCAATGAGACAGAAAATTAATAAGGATATCAAGGACTCGAACTCATGTCCGGAACAAGTAAACTTCATAAATATTTATAGAGCTCTCCACTTCAAATACACATAAATATAGAGCTCTCCACTTCAAATACACAAAATATACATTCTTGTCAATACCACATCACACCTACCCATAGGTTTAAATGAAACATTGATTGGCCATTATTAATACCCAATTTTTTTCAGAATAAAGCAATATTTCCATTTACTCTCCCTCTTTCTCTTCCTCTTTCTTCCTCTCCTTTACTTATTTTTTTTTTTCTTTCCTTCTCTCAAAAAAAAAAAGAAATCAACGTGTAAACCTCTAGATCCAGGTCGACAATGTCTCTCTCATTGCTTGATTTCCTTCCTTCCCTTCCCTCCCTCCCTCCCTCCCCCCTTCTTCCCTTCCTTCCTTCCTCCCTACCATCCTCCTTCCCTCCCTTCCTGCCTTCCTCCCAAAAAGAAATAAAAATTAAAAAAAAAAAATTTTTAAACACATAAAAATTATCTGGGTGCAGTGGTTCATGCCTGAAGTCCCAGCCCTCTGGGAAGTTGAGGCAGGAGGATTGCTTGAGCGCAGAAGTTCAAGGCTGCAGTGAGCTGTGATTGCTCCACTGCACTCCAGCATGGGTGACAGAGCAAGACCCTGTCAATAAAAATAAAATTTATTTTTAAACCCCAGGGTTTTTTTTGGTATTTAGAAGGAAAGCATCTTAAAAGCATATTTGGTAGGGGAAAGACAAATTTGGGAAAATGTAATTGTGGAGAACCCGTCTTCCTTCCCTTTATACATGAAATTATCATTGTAATATTTCATCTTTCTCATGTTTTTCATTTTGCTTTAACATGTTTGAAGCAGTAGCTACTTTTCAGTTGATAACAAGAAAGGCAAAATATGTTTTTATTCTGTTCCCTCAGTTAAAATCCAGTATAAATGATGCCCAGTGGCACTGATCCTAGTGGCAGTTACTTTTCTTTAAATAGTGGCTCCCACGATGGATATGGGTTTGGAGGGAGAGAGAGCTTGTCACCTCAGATTTTCATTGTGTTTTTTCACTGGGGCAGTATGAACCCCCTCCTGATTGATAGTATCTTCTTTTTTTTTTTTGTTTATACAGAAAATGTACTATCTTCTTATCTAAAGGACTTTGATTCTTAATGAATGGGCAAGAAAAGACCTCCTGATTTGTGAAGAGAGGCAACAATAGCAACAGCTTTTCCCCTGAGTGATTACTGTATTGAAGTCAAGCCTGAAACAATGGAGAATGAGGTCATGCACTGCCTGACTCATTTTATTATTACACCCAAATGGGTTCGTTGTACAGAATGGGCCTTTTTGACACTTAACTAATGATGTTTTGATTGAAATGAAATAATGTACATAAAAAAGTGACCTGTAGACTTGATGTGATGGCTCAAAGTGCCTGAAATCCCAGCACTGTGGGAGGCCAAGGTGGGCTAATCACCAGGTCAGGAGATTGAGACCATCCTGGCCAACATGGTGAAACTCCATCTCTGCTAAAAATACAAAAATTACCTGGGCATTGTGTGGCAAGCACCTGTAATCCCAGCTACTTGGGAAACTGAGGCAGGAGAATCACTTGAACCCGGGAGTTGGAGGTCGCAGTGAGCCGAGATCAAACCACTGTACTTTATTCATCCTGGCAACAGAGTGAGACTCCATCTTCAAAAAAAGAAAAAAGGGACTTGTTTATAGGAAAGAATTATATATTTGTTGGTAACTACCAGCTGACATCAATTCTCATTGCTTTATTGGGAGTTACGGTACTTTATTTTAGAGTTAGACCTTAAAGGATATATCCAGCCAGGCATGGTGGTATGAGCCTATAATTCCAGCTACTAGGAAGGCCGAGGCAGGAGGATCACTAGAGCTCAGGAATTTGAGGCCAGTCTGGGCACAACAAGATGCTGTCTGAAAAAAGAAAAAAAAGGATATATCATTCCACTAGCCTTCTGATCTGTGAATCTACTCTGGAAACATGGTCAGATTTGGAGCAAGGACCTTCCCTCTCTACCTGTTGGAAGTTCTTTCTGCTCAGTGTCTTCCCCCAGGAGGTGCCATGCTCATTGGTCTCATTATATGTAAGTCCTTAACAACAATCTAAGAAAAACTGAGTTAAAAAAAATTTCAGGTCCAGCATTGTGGCTTATACCATCTGAGGACTTTGGGAGGTTGAGGCAGGCAGATCATGAAGTTGGGAGTTCAAGACCAGCCTGATGAGAAATCCTGTCTCTACTAAAAATACAAAATTAGCTGGGCATGGTGGTACAAGCTTGTAATCCCAGCTACATTGCAGGCCGAGGCAGGAGAATCACTTGAACCCAAGAGGCGGAGGTTGTGGTAAACTGAGATTGCACCGTTGTACTTTAGCCTGGGCAATAAGAGTGAAACTCCATCTCAAAAAAAGAGATATTTAAATTCATTTCCACCTTTAGAAACAAGTAGTACAGCTGACTGAAGGACATGGTAAAAAAAAAGGAAAAAAAACACACAAACAAGTAGTACAGCCCAGGCATGGTGGCTCACACCCATAATCTTAGCACTTTGGGAGACTGAGTGGGTGGATCATGAGGTCAGGAGTTGGAGACCAGCCTGACCAACCTGGTAAAACGCTGTCTCTACTAAAAATACAAAAATTAGCCAGGCATAGTGGCACGCACCTGTAATCCCAGCTACTCAGGAGGCTGGGGCAGGAGAATTGCTTGAACCCAGGAGGTTGCAGTGAGCTGAGATTGTGCCATTGCACTACAGCCTGGGTGACAGAGCAAGACTCCATCTCCAAAAAAAAAAAAAAAAAAAAGTACATTTTGTGAGTACTGGTTTTTCTGACTTTAATTATTTTCCTTAAGTAAAATATTATGACTATAATAGAAAATGGAAAGCTTCAGGTGATGGGGTATGATATTTTCAGAGAAGTTTAAAGTCAAATCAACATTGTTCATTTTGTTTGTTTTGTTTTTTTTTGTTTGTTTGTTTGTTCATGATGAAGTCTCACTCTGTCTCCCAGGCTGGAGTGGCGCAATCTCGGCTCACTGCAACCTCCACCTCCTGACTTCAAGCGATTCTCCTGCCTCAACCTCCCAAGTAGCTGGGATTACAGGTGTGCACCACCACACCCAGCTAATTTTTGTATTTTTAGTAGAGATGGGATTTCACCATGTTGCCCAGACTGGTCTTGAACTCCTGATCTCAGGTGATCCACCTGCCTCCCAAAGTGCTAGGATTATAGCTGTAAGCCACCATGCCTGGCTTTTTTTTTAGACAGAGTTTCGCTCTTGTTACCCAGGCTGGAGTGCAATGGCACGATCTCTGCTCACCGCAACCTCCGCCTCCTGGGTTCAGGCAATTCTCCTGCCTCAGCCTCCTGAGTAGCTGGGATTACAGGCACACGCCACCATGCCCAGCTAATTTTTTGTATTTTTAGTAGAGACAGGGTTTCACCATGTTGACCAGGATGGTCTTGATTTCTTGACCTCGTGATCCACCTGCCTCGGCCTCCCAAAGTGCTGGGATTACAGGCTTGAGCCACTGCACCCAGCCCAGTTGTTCATTTTTAATAGTTAATATCAATCAGTGTAGTGGCTCACACCTGTAATCCTAGCACGTTGAGAGGCCAAGGTGGAGGATTGCTTGAGGCCAGGAAGAGAGCAATCTGACCAACATAGTGAAACCCTGCCTCTTTCTTTCTTTCTTTGTCTTTTTTTTGTGATGGAGTCTTGCTCTGTTGCCCAAGCTGGAGTACAATAGCACGATCTCGGCTCACTGCAATCGCCACCTGCCAGGTTCTAGCAATTCTCCCGCCTCAGCCTCCCAAGTAACTGGAATTACAGGCACCTGACATTAATCCTGACTAATTTTTGTATTTTTGAAGAGATGGGGTTTCACCATCTTGGCCAGGCTGGACTTGGAACACCTGACCTCAGATAATCCACCCACCTCGACCTCCCAAAGTGTTGGGATTACAGGTGTGAGCCACCAGTCCATCTTATTTCTATATTTTTTTTTCTAAGAATAAACAAAAAATATCATTGGAATAACATGCAGTTTCTTTTTATTGCGTTTTAGGTTTGGGGGTACATGTGAAGAACGTGCAGGATTGTTGCATAGGTACATACACGGCAATGTGGTTTGCTGCCTTCCTCCCCATCACCTATATCTGGCATTTCTCCCCATGTTATCCCTCCCCAACTCCCCACCCTCCGCTGTCCCTCCCCTGGTTCCCCCACACAGACTTCAGTGTGTAATGCTCCCCTCCCTGTGTCCATTTGTTCTCATTGTTCAACACCCACCTATGAGTGAGAACATGCAGTGTTTGATTTTCTGTTCTTCTGTCAGTTTGCTGAGAATGATGGTTTCCAAGGGACACAAACTCATCATTTTTATGGTTGCATAGTATTCCTTGGTGTATATTTGCCACATTTTCCCTGTCCAGTCTATAATCAATGGGCATTTGGGTTGGTTCCAAGTGTTTGCTATTGTAAACAGTGCTGCAGTGAACATTCGTGTGCATGTGTCCTTATAGTAGAACGATTTATAATCCTTTGGATATATACCCAGTAATGGGATTGCTGGGTCAAATGGAATTTCTATTTCCAGGTTCTTGAGGAATTGCCACACAATGGTTGAACTGATTTACACTCCCACCGTGTACAATCATTCCTTTTTCTCCACATCCTCTCCAGCATCTGTTGTCTCCAGATATTTAAATGTTCGCCATTCTAACTGGTGTGAAATGATATCTTTGATTTGCATTTCTCTGATGATCAGTGATGATGACCATTTTTTCGTATGTTTGTTGGCCTCATATATGTCTTCTTTTGAGAAGTGTCTGTTCATATCCTTTGCCCACTTTTGAATGGGCTTGTTTTTTTCTTGTAAATCTGTTTCAGTTCTTTGTAGATTCTGGGTATTAGCCCTTTGTCAGATGGGTAGATTGCAAAAATTTTTTCCCATTCTGTGGGTTGCTGATTCACTTTTTTTTTTTTTTTTTTTTTTTTAAAGATGGGGTTTCACCATGATGGCCAGGCTGGTCTTGAACTCCTGACCTCAGGTGATCCACCTACCTCAGCCTCCCAAAGTCCTAGGATTACAGGCGTGAGCTACCATGCCTGGCAGTTGCCGATTAACTCTACTGACTGTTTCTTTTGCTGTGCAGAAGCTCTGGAGTTTGATTAGGTCCCATTTGTCTATCTTGGCTTTTGTTGCCATTGCTTTTGGTATTTTAGTCACGAAGTCCCTGCCTATGCCTATGTCCTGAATGGTTTTGCCTAGATTTTCTTCCAGGGTTTTTATGGTGTTAGGTCTTATGTTTAAGTCTTTAATCCATCTGGAGTTAATTTTAGTGTAAGGTGTCAGGAAGGGTGTCTAATTTCTGCTTCCTGCACATGGCTAGCCAGTTTTCCCAACACCATTTATTAAACAGGAATCCTTTCCCCATTGCTTGTTTTGTGAGGTTTGTCAAAGATCAGATGGTTGTAGATGTGTGGTATTGCCTCCCAGGCCTCTGTTCTATTCCATTGGTCTATATCTCTGTTTTGGTACCAGTACCATGCTGTTTTGATTACTGTAGCCTTGTAGTATAGTTTGAAGTCAGGTAGTGTGATGCCTCCAGCTTTGTTCCTCTTGCTTAGAATTGACTTGGCTATGTGGGCTCTCTTTTGGTTCCATATGAAGTTTGAGGTGTTTTTTTCCAGTTCTGTGAGGAAGGTCATTGGCAGTTTGATGGGGATAGCATTTAATGTATAAATTACTTTGGGCAGTATGGCCATTTTCACAAAATTGATTCTTTGTAACCATGAGCATGGAATGTTTTTCCATCTGTTTGTGTCCTCTCTTATTTCCTTGAGCAGTGGTTTGTAGTTCTCCTTGAAGAGGTCCTTTACCTCCTTTGTTAGTTATATTCCTAGGTATTTTATTCTCTTTGTAGCAATTGTGAATGGCAGTTTGTTCTTGATTTGGCTCTCTTTAAGTCTGTTATTGGCATATAGGAATGCTTGTGATTTTTGCACATTGATTTTGTATCCTGAGACTTTGCTGAAGTTGCTTATCAGTTTCAGGAGATTTTGGGCTGAGATGATGGGGTCTTTAAATATACAATCATGTGCCTGCAAATAGAGATAATTTGACTTCCTCTGTTCCTAATTGAATACCCTTTATTTCTTTTTCTTGCCTGATTGCTCTGGCTAGAACTTCCAATACTATATTGAATAGGAGTTGTGAGAGAGGGCATCCTTGTCTAGTGCTAGATT